CATCACTTTATCTTTATCTTTCTAAGTCTATTTCACTAAATTCTACTTCTTGAATAATATCTTTATAATCCTAACCTCTCCGATTACTGCTAACACCTGTACTACCTCTACTACTGTTGGATTTGAATCGACAATTATATCTCTGTGCTAATGTGGAATGGCAACTTGAACTAATGTACTTACGTGCAAAGTTCTACGTTGTTTTTGATGAAGATGATGAACTGGCTGTAAATTAGTGAGCTATCAGCGAAATAATCATTTATTGCTTAAGGAATAATGTTAGTAGAGTTCTGAAGGATCAAATATATTGTTATACGCTATTAAACAATAAATAATTAAGTAATTAGACCTAAGAGAACACTTGGAGCTCCTCATGAATTACTTGCGATCTCTCAAACGTAGGAGGGTTGAATATAGGGTTATCAACCAGATCTCGTATAGAACAATTACGGTAACGTACCTGCTGGATCATCAAAGTATCCTTCAAATTAAAGAAGGAAGGGATTACAATGAATACAATTCTGTGCCATTCACGCGTCGACAATGATTGTGAAGACAATACATACAATTTTTATGAAAGACTGGAGTCCATTTCAGAGAATTATCCAGAAAAACACCTGACCATCTTGATAGCTGACATAAACATTAAGATTAGGATGAACTACATCGAATATGTAATTATCATTTTGTGTGATTTCTACAGCATGATCATAGGTGGTAGCATTTTAATCCATAAGCACATGCATAAAGCTACAGTCTAATCATTTACGTGCGTACGAAAATTCAGAAGCCTCATTGAAATGACAAAGATTAAGACTCACATGACCTACTACAAGAAGACCAAAACACTATGGCTACCAAAAAGGAACGCATGAAAGAAGTAATAACTTCTATATGTCATCATGTATTGAGCCAAAATTAACACCAACATAATAAACAGATATCTATACACATTCTAGACAAGAGTGAAAAGAGTAAAACGAGAAGGGAGTAAAATACAACAACAACAGCAGCAGCAGCAACAATGATAACAACGACAACCAGATTCGAGCAGAGGAAGTCGAGGCATGTGTTGAACATAAAGAAGCAAACGGACTAGTGAAGGAGAAAATTAGGGCCAATGAGTGAAGACAGCCAGTGTAGAAATTGCCTCTGTAGCAGAAAATCACAACATACATAGGGGGAGAAGTGAAATTCCGAAGTGAAACACAATGAGTGCAAGTCAAATAACACTTGATGAAGACACTCTAGAAGAGTTGAAAGTTCTTCTATACCTGGTAGAAAACAGACCAGCTATGAGTTGAGGCAGAAATCAGGAAGAGAACGCACAATGTGTAAACCATTAAACTACATCACAAGGTACATAGTAAGTTGAAATACTCAAGTACAAAGTGAAAGAAGTAGGCTGAGTAACATATGATGTCGGCATTAGTCGGTAGACATTCAGAACATGAATATCATTTGCTAACAGCTGGTAAGGAGAGAACCATAACAAGGTAGCAGATTCCTCATCGGAAGACTATTCTTCAAGAAAGGTGGCAGGACTAAATTGATTAAATCTATATCTGAAAATCAAAATTAATTATTAGCGAATGTAACTGATTTTGTTGACTCGATCAGTGTTCTATAGTAAACCCGAATAAAACTTTGATCACTACTGAACAAAAATGAAACAATTTATTGAAACAACATAATATGAAATTATTACTTTGATTTGAATAGTAATTATTTTTTATGACCATTTGTCCTGATCATATAGATACAGCTGAAGTTCTCAAATTCAGTAGGTAAACCACATCACATGACAGAATAGTTCAGGTTTAATTAATCAGATAAAAATCTAGAAGAAAATTTTAATTGTTATTTACGAGAAAAAGCATTAAGGAAGTCTTATTAAGATCAGTCAGCTATAATAGATTAAGAGAGGATTTAACACCACTTAAAATAAGCATTATGTATCAATGTGTAACCACGCAGTTAGGTCACAAATAACAAAGAGTCCAATAACAGGAGCCAAAATCCTACCCTCACACTTGCCTTTTCCAATAAAATTATACGTGATAACCAGTGTCGTCCTATCATTTGAAATTTAACCACGTTGTCATCGCACTACTAACTAGTTCTTTGAGTAGTTCAACTCCAAAAATGAATTTATGAAAATAGTCTAAAGAAAATTGATTTTGTTCTAGAAATCAAAAACTATTTTGTTGTGGTGAAGCTATGATTAAGCTAGTTAGAAATATACAAAGCCCATTTAAATTACGGGGGGATCAAAATACATCAATCAGTCAAACATGATGGTTACGGATATGATTTTTACAGCAGTGGACGTCCGGTGATGAAAATCTGGTTTGCCATAATTACTCTGGACGGAAGATTTTTTTGAGGCATTCATACATGTAACCCACTGAAGTTCATAATGTGAATAAATAAGACTTCCTTAATTATGTAGGCTTTCGAGATATCAGTGGATATGTGAAATACACCAATCTTCAATATACGATTCTACAGTGTTCTCTCCAGTGAAATTAAAGTAGCCCTGATGCCAAGATATGACCGTCAAGTACTGGGAAGAAGGTGTAGATATGTATTTAAGAACTGAATGAAAAGCGAACTGTCTCTTGCTGGTCAGTTTGTCTTGTGGTAATTGACCTATGACCTAATGATCATCGCATGAATAAGGTAGATTTATAAAAGACTGATACGATAGCCATTTCTGATGAGTGCTCTGGGTAGGTTAATTTCTTACGTTTAAGCATTCAGAGTTCTCTCAAAAACATCGCTACGTTGGGCAAATAAGTAACTACATAGAACAGGACAATCGGATCAAACCTGTATGCTTATTCTCCACGTAAACTGCTTTTCGAAGTGCTCTAACCAGTGTTCTAACTAGTTTTAAAAATTGTCAGTTGAATTTTAAGGAACCCACAGAATCTAGTGCTTAGTAAATTATTAAGCTGCTCCCCTGATCATCTAGCATTTTCGGTAGGCCTGAAACTATTTCTGTTTGGTAATTAATGACAATTGGCCAGCCAGTTAGGATAACAAGTCGATTGACCATCGAGACGAAGATTGTGTAGAACTTCTTGCGTGGAAAGGAAAGTCTGCTATCCATTCGGACCATCACGTCACCGATCACTTTATTTATGTTCAGTTCTGAGATGAAGGAGGGAAACTTAATATAGCATATAGAAGATAATTATATCCTAACTTGATATAGAGTAAAAATAGAATGGGAACTCCAAAGTTGTCCAGAAAAGTCATTATTATTTGTGATCTGTGAGTCAATACTGAGCATTCAAACAACTCTCCTGTATCTTAACGGCTAACCTGAACATTTAAGTTCTGAACTAGCTCGAAAGTCACAAGGTTGGGTTAAATTCATTCAGTTAATGTTAAAACCTATATGTGATTGTATCTCAGGTGATAAGCACTAAAATTGAGTAAAGATAGCAAAAAATACTGTCTCTCACTACAAATACTGTTTACTCTGGTTTAATCTTTCAGCCTAGAAGCGTATAAACACCTGTTACGAAAACCCAGTCAATTAGTTGAAACTACATCCGTTGAGATGGTTTGGACATGTGTTACGTATGCCTAACCACAGACTGACTCGACGAGCTATGTTTTGCGGTGTACGGGTAGGTTGGAAGAAAGCTAATGGCGGCCAAACGGAGAACATGGCACAAGTCCATGAAGTCACTGACAACCAGCTTGAGTCATGTTGTTAAGTGTAGACTACCTGGTTGTGGTCCGCGAGATATTAGCGACCGTCTGTTAGAGACTTAAAATGACATGGCTCAAAACCATTTGCAATGGCACAGGTGTATCCATTCTTTGGCTTCTCTCAAATCCTAATCTTCTGAATTCCTCACGACTGTTTGTTCAATCGATTCCTCTGGGGTATACATCTCGAATGATATATTCGATCATTAATCTTATTGATTACTGCTAACACTTTACTACATCTACTACTATGGAATTTGAATTGATATTTGCGTCCCTGTGCTGATGTGGTATGGTAACTTGAACTGAAGTCCGTACGTACGAAGTTCTATGTTGTAACTGACTGACTGGGGCTTAGTTCTTAACCGATAATTACACGTTCCCAGGTAAATGCTAATGGGACGAAATTTCTGGATCGACATCTGGAGAAAAAACCGGTTCACTGAAATTTCGAATAAGAGTCAGTGATATGCAATTCATATGAAAAACGCGTTTCCAGGGTTTGAAAGTATTTGAGCGCAATCTGGTGAGTTTAAGTGAATGTTCTGCTTGAAGGTGAATGCTGGAACTAAAGAGTTGTACATTCTTCTGGTAAGGTCGAAGTAAAAATATCTCTGTCCTTTGAGATATTCTCGTACAAAATGGACTCCATGACTTCTGTAATGGAAGTCACATTTACTCAGTTAGCGTGATGTAAGCGTTCCTTAAAAAATATGAGTAGATTTATCAGACTGGAGCGGTGGCATTGGAAACAGAGTATTCCTTGATGGAAGTTGCAAAACACTAACTGTGGGTTAATAATACTCGTAAAATTCTGATTGCTGAAGTGATAACAAACGAATCTGTTATAGACCCCAAATATATTGAAAATGTATCCACTTGAGCTGTCGAAAAGTTTTTGAATTATACTCTAAGGTTACAGACAATAAGCGAATGCTCTTCTGAAGTACTGACGACGAATCCCACTGACTAGTAACTTCTGTATTCAATTTCTTAGTGCTTACGCTATAACAGTATTTTCGGGCAGAGTTTTGGAGGTTTGTGTTTTTACACATTTGAAATCATCAATCACCTGTACCTTCGGTATTGTGCGCGAACGCCTAACCATCGGACCACTGGGCCGGCATCCAACAGTATTTGTTTTCATATTTATTTAAAATCTAGAATTTTAGTACTGGTCAATGTTGAAAGTTAGTTTTAATTAGGCACATTCAGATGAACGATAAACGTTTGACGGTTCAGTTTACAAGCCAATCAATATCATTCTGGATGACGTCCAACGATATATATAACTGCCGACAATATTCATTTAAATTGTAAATCTTTTTGAATATAGACTTGTTGATGTATGTTTTATGAGAAGGTTGTTATTAAAATCTTGCATTATTTGTCAACCATCAAGTTATTGTCAATCAGACAAATAAACAAGAATCTCACACAATTTGAAATGTTTTGTTTACAAAAAAAAAAGTGAACACGATTCGTTCCATTGAATTTTACATGAAAACTATAAAGAAATGAACTAAACGAAGCAGAACTTCAGGTGGTAAATGTGTATAGCGAGTGTCATGTAAAAAAAACAAAACAATTCAAGACAAATTCAGTATAACCAAATTTAGAAAAAATTTTTTTTTAATAAAATAATTTTCATTATCCAGAGGATACTAGTGTTATAATAGGCGAAAGGGGAAAAGTGATTGGATTGCTGAACAAAAAGATTACTACTAGAAAATAGATTGATCACAGTTTGAAACACAGTAAATACCGTTGAATTTAGGCGTTCAAGGAACTACCGACCCACAACCACCACCACAAAATAATTCACATCACAGTCGTCACTGTGTTAAGAGTAATAATTACTTAAGAAAAAAATATACACAATAAAAAATAACACAATAGTTTAAGTGTGGTTTTTTCTTTCTTGAAGGATAAGTTATTAGAGGAGATTAGATTTATTCTTGTCCAAATCCCTTAGTCTCTTCAATAGCCATTTGTAGTTTCTCGCATAATTGATCATACGAACTGTACGGTGGTAAATCTAACCGGTTGAAGCATGTATGACTACGTGGCAGCCATTGTTCATCACCTGTACGCTCTATGCAAAATAATTGACGCCCACCACTGCCTAAAGAAGCAAATGAATGAATGACAATCAAGTGTATTTATTGACAACATCATAATGACTAATGAAGAATATTCTGTGTACCAAGGTAAACGTTCACTACAAATCATAGATTGGAACGGTGCAACTTGTCCTAATCTCTTATTTGAACTTTATAATAATGATTTAATAATAATAGGCTTATTTAAAGCACTGCATAGAACAGTACTACCATACAGCCTTTAAACTTGTGACTTCCGATTAATGCATGATGATTAAAACGATACAAGATTCAATTGACATTTCGATCAATTATCACTTGAATGAATCAATCTTTTCACACGTTCTTCCAGTGCAAAATTCAGTAGACACATTAAAAGGATGAATAAGATATAATTTATTCGAAATATACAATTTAAAAAAGATCACTCGACATCATTTCAAACAAACTGATAATAAACAAATTAAATGTAAACTGGGCGAAAACGAAGTGCAACGACTTTTCCCAGTTATGTGTTCAGGAGCAGTGAGTCAATTTTAAACAATGTCAGTCATAGATAAATATGTATATTTCTAAAAAAAAAATCCAGTAAAAAATTACAGACCACAAGAAAAAAATTATAGGAAACTATTCGGTCAATGTACAGTGAAGGTTACCACTCACCAGTTAATTCAGAAAATCCTCCCAATGGTAAATGACACGTACCAGTGACAAATTGGAGAAGGCGAGCACGATGTTCATTATCCAGTTTTCGAACCAACTTTATAGAATAAAAAAAAGTTTAGAGAAAAGAATACATAGAATAGGGGTAGTAACAAAATATCAATATATACAAATAAACAAGTGTGGTTCAAAGGAACACAGCTTGAGATTTTGATTTTCAACTCAATATATTTCACTGTTTTTTAACCGAACAAGTGGTTGTTCCGCTTATTGGTGATTCTTCTTCAAGATAGTAAAAAAATGCAACCAATCACTAAATCTATAACATTTCACTACGAGTAGCGAATGATTTTTGTAGCGACGCGAACACATCGACTACGGTCAGGTTTATGATGGAACATTACAGTCATGAGAAACAAGTGTGGATTTTATAGGCATTGAACACCGATTTACAAAAATCAATCCGATTTATGCTTGTATATGTATGACAGGCAGTAGATCAATCTAGCAGCTGAAATACCTGTTTTGGATGATGGAGTTATCGATCAAAGAAGGAGGTGCACAGAAATCGAATGCGTTTATTCAGATAAAATTATTTGTGCGAGATTTTGACAATAATTTTGAAACATGGGTGCAGGTGTAGAAGAATATCAAGAAAGTAGTAGGTTCATTCGTAGAACCTATCTAAACAAAGAAATCGAGTTTAGATAATGTATTGTAGAACTTCATGTATATACACCAATTAAAATAATTGGAGTACAAATGTGTTATGATAACAGAATGATATTTTTAATATTCATGCTGTAATTCAAGAAATAAGTGATAAGTTTAACGAATCAGTCAACATTAAAAAAACTGATAGACAGAAGTAACTCCGAGTGATTTACTTTAGATAGAATAACAGTGAGACAATATAAAAGGCTGTAGTATGACGAAGATCCTGTCTACATATGTTTATTAATTTTTTTTCCTAAATAAACAATATTCATGTTGTCATAGACAGCAAACTAAGACTATACAATGGAAAAACGAATGTCGCAGTGACAAAAATTTCATTTTTTTTTCTTTGGCTAACTCAACTTCAAAGGTGTACATTTGTAAATAAGCAACACAGAGACTGAGTTCTCACAAAATAGTTCGCATAATAGAGGTTAGAATTAATTGGTAGATACTAGTAAATGTGAAGTAATAAACTCCATTTGCATAAATATCCTCCATAGTATGATGAATATCATGCAATGAAATGTGCAATGTGTTATTTCATGAACATACAGACATATAAAAACAAACAGATAGACAGTTAGTGTAATTATTTACCTTCCAAAACCAAATGATCTGTTTACTTGACCGTGTGTACTTTAAGTAGACAGTATTATTTTCCCAATCGTCAACATCAATCTCTGGCATACCGGATAATAAAAGCTTTCAAACAGAAGAACATAAAACGAAAGAGAAACAGAGATTAAAGCATTAGTGAACTAGTACACTAACCAAGTGAAACAAAGTCATTAGGAACAGTAGTATTGACTATAAATGTTTTCGAATCATTGCCCGCGTATATTGAAACTATCCACTGAGAAGCAGTGAAAATAGATACAGGATACTGAGCAAAAAATGATGTGCTTCATTATTACACCTTTGAATGAATGATAGACACCAAAGCAGAACCAATCGATGAACATAGACAAATGCTGACTTGGCATCAAAAAATACAACTACAGTCGGATGTCCGAAAGTATGTCCATGTTCCAGGAATTGAACAAGGACGATTGTACATCAGCATCCAGTTACGGAAAGTTTGTTCTACTTTTGAAATTAATGCAACACTTAGGCCAACAATACTATACTGAATGTCAGTCAAGTCACCAGAAGTGTCAAACATACATTATACTGTTTTTCCACACTGACTAGCTCATTTCAAGTGAATGAAAACACTTGGATACTGTGTGCAAGCAGATTCTCGTCGAATGAGATTTCACACAGTAGCAGTTAATGAAGCCTGTTATTCAATTCCACATAACCTTCGAGCACTGAGAGCTCTTACGTGTAGTTTGGAACGCGGTTTCAGGAGACCCACAAAAGCACATCTCGAACTCGAATAGTTAGCAGAATGGCTGATAGTGAAGATTGAAAAATTATTAGGAAGTGACGAATCGGTTTGATGCAGAACAAGCTGAATTCTAATGCTGTCAGAGGTATGAGGGTGATTTTCACTTCTCCACTGTTCACACACATGGGAGGATTGTTCTTGCAGAAGCAGAACAAAAAGAAACTGCATTGGAGTTAGGTCTTAGAGATTCGGGTGCGTAACGACAGATATCAAAGGGGCAACTGTTTGAAACTGGTCACACACGACCTTTTTTTTTTTACAAAGTTTAGGGTTTGTTCAGATCTGTGAATGAGATGAGCAGGTCAAAAATAAATTTTTCTAATACTCACCTAATTGATAGTAAAGTTGACAGTTTAGCTCATCAAGTAAAGACTATTTAAAAGAATAGGAAATTAATTGGAATATCTGTTGTTTAAATGTTTGTTTTTTTTAAAAAAAAACAATTAATTAAACGATCGAAAATTACATGGATCTGTGTAATTTAATAACACAATAAGAATTATTAGGTTACAAAAACAAACAAACAAACAAACAGTAAAGCTTGCCATTTTATTCAATTATTGCTTTTGCATTTCATGCGATTCAACGGATCAATTCAAATCATTCGATAACTTAATCACTTTATTTGACCAAATGTAGAAAGGTAATTAAAACGCTACGAGATTTGACAAAAAGAATCAACCAAACGTTTGGCACAAAAATCAATCAACAGTTTAGTCGGTGTATCATCGACAAAATGACCAACATACTTGCTAACCATTGAAAATAATCATCCGAAAATTGATGGATGTTCAAATAGAGAGACAAAGGAGTTACTTAAAATATTCCAGTGTTCGTTAAAATTATTATGCTCAGATACTGGTTAGATCAACATAAAAATGATGGCTAGTACATGAGTAAATAAGAAAAAAAAGTTGGTAATGATTAAACTGAGTTATAGAATCAGTTTATGAAGTTATTTCAATTAATGAATGTCGATTAGTTGTTTTAGTCGATATGGATCAAAATCGATCGTGTTGGTGCACATGGTTGCATTCTACACAATTAACCCAAGTTCTATTCTAGTGTTCCATCATGAGTTTCGGTTTTTCCATTGTTTCAAACCCTGATATTTAAATTTCCTTGATTTACATTTTTTTCTCGTAATTTTCTCCGACTATGGTAAATTAAAGGATGGCAGACTAGATTGAAGATTTATGTCCGGCTCCTACATCACTTATGACTGACCGCCTTTCAAAGATGGACTCAGAATAGTTCATCCTACTACAGATATTCACAGTGTTAGAGATAATATTTTTTTTATGTTGTTGTCGGTGGTTTAGTGTAATTCGGTAAACGAATACACGTTCTTGAGCAGAACTTTGAGACATTCTACATTCTGTATGTCTTACTAAAATGACAGTAGTTATTAGCTACTCGGACCCAAGGACAAATGTAGAAGTTTGGCTTAACAATGCATTTAATTGAAAATTTCTTAGTCCAAATAATAGACGTTCACCAGTAATTTCGCTTATACAATGACACGATTGTAGAGCATAATTAATTGAAAATTTATTTATGGGATTGACCAACATATTATTTTGAAAGAAAAAAAAATGATAGTCAGTAATATGGAATATAAAACAAATTAATTAAAACAAAAGCAATGCGTAAATGGAACGGACAACAAACAGTAAGAAATAATAGACACGGAACAAAAGAAAGCTAATACATCGATAATCCATGCAAGGTCTACAAATAATACATTTTAATTGTGTGGTCTCACACGTAAAAAGGCTGAGATCAATAACAATGTGAAACAGGGCGAGGGGTGACGGAGACCAGTAGGTTGGTCTTGAGACACACATACAAATAAGAAAACCAATTATGTCGACTAATATTTCTAGTGTCACAAGAATTATGCTCATATTGAAGTGTAATATAGGTGTAATATTCGCCAACACCCAACATTGAAGTGATCAGTTTTGTTTTAGGGTAAAATTTGATTGTATTACTGCACCCGTCTTACTAATTATTTTATTGTTAATTTCACAGATAGCATTTAGATTTACTTTCAATTATTATTCTTGTAATAACTAAGTGATTATGGAAATTCAGCTTAGTTTTAATTTCGGATTGGACCCATAATCATCCAATCGGCATCGACTTTTTTGTGTTCGTTTGTAAACTCTATAAATTAGTGCAGAGCTCTGATGAAAAAGTAATTGCGACGAAATATCTTACCCCGTGAACTTGTCCTTCTAATAACTCAATAGGAATGAGTTGAAATATTGGTAGTGGTGTGTGTCATTCAGTGTGAGGAAAAGAAACAAATTAATCAACCTAAAAAATAACATAAGAATGTGTAGCGGTAGACGGTGTATAGGCAAATGAAAATTGCATTGTATTTTGCGGATTTTGGGCATCGTGTGCTGATAACGGTAAAAAGGTCTTATAGTACATTTAAAGTTTCATGGTGTGCATGTATCAATGAAAGCAAACAATAAATATGTGACCATATCAAATATCGGCTAATTATATAATATGTACTCAGTACAGAGAATTTAGTGTGCAGTAAAATACTTGAAGTCATTTAGACTTTAACAAAAGACTTACTTCCAGTTCACGCTCGTCGAATAATTCCAACCATTCAGGATTTATTACTTCAAAAATACCTTTGCGAATTTCTTCGGTTTGCTTTTTTACTCCTCTATTGAATCGCCAATCAACCATCAGTCTGAAATTATGCATAGATAGTGCTTGAAATAGATGTTTTCAGTTGAACGTCATCAAAAGTATTAAGTAGTTTTCAAAGTGCTTGACATATGTTAAAGCAGAACATTTTTGCAATCATGCAGATGATGGTCATGGTCATGGGGTTTGACATATCTACTGTGCTGTGACAAGTGATTGTTTTTAATACCAAGCAATCTGAAAATAAAGTACCTAAATCAATGACGGGTGGTTGAGCAGATACCAATCTTTATTTATACACTTAGTCATCCTATTTACCATGGATACGCAGATGAATAACGCTCGTTGTGAAGATTTAAGAACTGCAAAACTATTCACCAAATATATTTATTGCACTGACCTTATTCAATTTATGCTAGATGGAAGACTTTAAGTGAAATTAATTGGTGTTTAATAAACTATATTGTTCTAATCCTATACAACATAACTTTTCATAGATTAAAAGATTATTTTTCGTCACATAAACAAAGGAACTACATAATAACGCGAAACTTTTCATTTGAAAAACTCATGAAAATACTTAGCGTTAGTTAATGTGTAAAGGTTACACAATAATTTTGTATTATCGTTGCTCCATTCCAACAGGTAATCTTATTTAAAACTTTGAAGAACAGAGGTAATCAACCGAAAATGTGTGTTGGTTCAAGTTACCATTAGCATGACGATTTGAAAAGAATACAGAGACAATGATAAAAAGATATTGAGAATATGGAGTACGTGAAGGGATACTGGAATCCAAGATTGAAAAAAAGACAGAGTGGGTAAATCTAGGCCATTGTGAACGATTATTGGTCAACTCACTCAAAATATCCAACCACTGACTTCAGTCATCACCCGGAGCCCAAACAGTTAGTCTGGATCTTCCAACATAGCTCATGGAGTTATGCCACATTTTGGTTTGTGCGTCTTTATCTTTCTTTCAAGCAAACATCATTCATCAAGGTAGGTGGTACTTAGGGTTATGAAATGCATGTGCGAATCATCTGAACATGTGAAGATCTACTGCATTATCAACCAACTTAGCACCTTTGCCATATGCCTTGTCTAACCTTGAAATCGTTCACTTAGTCGTTCCAAGAAATGCAAGCGAAGTTTCTAAGACAGATGATTAAAAACATGCAGCCTACATATATCTTCGACTTTCATAGACAAAGTTTTACAGTCATACAAAAAGAGCGCAGCAAAATGCTGCATAGTATACATGTACTTTGCTTAGAAGATGAAAATCTCGACCACCCAACAAATGAGGTGAGTTGGCAAACATTAACATCTCACGTTGAACCAATAATTTACGAGTAGAGAGCATTTACAAAGTTGTAATACATTATTGACATACATCCACGTTCAGGTCTGAAACCACACTGATATTGTTAGGTCCTGGAAAGTAAGCACATATTTCTGCGTCCCCAAAAAGTTGTATTCCTTGACCTTAAGACGGCACTCGACTCCATTGAAGGTGTACCGAAGAATTGCATTAACGTTGTACAAGCTCTGTATTCGAACAGTACTGTCCGAGTCAGAGCTTATGGCGAGCTGTCATCAGAATTGAATACTTCAAGTGGTATCCTTCAGGGCTGTCTACTTTCTCCATTCTTGTTTAACTTTGTCATTGGAATGCTTTTAGATACAACACTTTCATCATCTGAATTTTCAGGAGTTGAACTTTCAGCAGGAGATACGCTCATTGACTTAGAATATGCCGATGATATCGTTCTACTTGGTGTACAAGCTGACAAAATGCAGTCTTGTGACTACCCTAAGCAAAAATGCAAGTATGTTCGGATGTGATTCTCCCCGTCGAAATGCGAAATGTTGCTTCAGGATTGGCTTGCAGCGGCACCCGAACTAGTGATACGCAGTGAAGTAGTTGAGCATGTCGACAGCCTGACTTATCTGGGGTCTCATCAGTGCCGATTGCCTGGTGACTGATGAAATTTCAGCACGGATACAGAAGGCTCGATTGGCTTTCGCCAACTCACGTCACTTATGGCGTAGGAGAGATATCCGTCTGCTAAACAAAAGACGAGTATACTGCGCAGCAGTTCGTTCCGTCCCACTATATGGCTGAAAAACTTGACCAGTAAGAGTAGAGGATATTCGAAGGTTACTTACTGGTTTTCGATCAAAGCATTGCTTCTATATCCGCGGATCACCGAGTGAGTAATGCTGTTACTAGGAAACGAGTATTGGGTAAGGATGGCAGATCAGAAGATTAAGTATCGAAACTTCATTAGCTGAGGTGGTTGGGACATGTGTTACGAATGACTAAGCACAGACTGCCTCGTCGAGCTATGTTTTGTGGTGTAGGGGTAGGCTGGAAAAAAGTTAGGAGCGGCTAAACTGAAAACATGGCACAAATCCATGAAGTCACTGACAATCGGCTTGAGTCATGTCGGTAAGTGTAGACTACCTGGTTGTGGTCCGCGAGACGACAGCGACTGATGGTTAGACCTTGAATGACTTGGCTCAAAATCGTTTGCAATGGCGCAGATGTATCCATTGCTTGTCTTCTCTTTAATTGTGGTCTGAATTCCTCATCACATCTGTGTCTCTCTTTTTTCAAATTTATATCACAGAATTATACTTCTTGAATAATGTCTTCGAACGCTAATCTTTTCCATTACCACTAATAGTTCTACTACATCTACTACTATAGGATTTGGTTTGATAAACGGATCTCTCTGTCCTAATGTGGTACGGGGTTCTAGGTTGTACTAGACTAATAGGTAAAGCTATCAATGATAGACCTCAAGGGAGAAAATCGAGATGAACATAGGCACATGCTAATTTAAGACCAGGAATTCATGTTCCAGGAATTGAACAAGGACGATTGTACATCAGCATCCAGTTACGGAAAGTTTGTTCTACTTTTGAAATTAATGCAACACTCAAACCAACAATACTATACTGAATGTCAGTCAAGTCACCAGAAATGTCAAACATACATTGTACTGTTTTTCCACACTGACTAGCTCATTTCAAGTGAATGAAAACACTTGGATACTGTGTGCAAGCAGATCTTCACAAGTCGTAAACATACAAAAAAACACAAGTAACCTCTAGAGAAATGAATTATTTGAAAGAAAAAGAACCCGGCTTTTTCAACACATAGTTCATTAAACATACACGTAATATTATTTTGGTAGGTAGTAAAGAGTTTCGTACCTGATATAATCGGATTTATTTTCTTCAGTTACTTTAATATCTTTGCCGCCTTTAATAAGTTCGTCTTCATGCAAAGCGCCTAAAAGATCATAGGTTCCAACAAAATACAAGTCCAAATCACATTCATCAACCAGATTATCTCTAAATGATGGGAAGAAAAAAAAGTGAATCGAAAACAATTAGCCAATCAAAAGGTGTATGAGTGGATGGATACTGAAGCGGAAGGCAATCAAGACGAATATCAGGGAATAGACCCACTGTATTTTAATGCCAAAATTTATTTTATTCAAAAGCTCAGGAAATTAGCATTAGACAATCCGATCGTTAAAAGGGTTGGTTGAGACTAAAATCATTCCATGTTAATCATTCGAGTTTATTACAAGCTCCAGATAACAACACTTTGGTAACGTGTTTAACAAAAAAAAGTGCAGAAAGCTGAATTGTCGATAAAACTTTCTGATCAATGTGAACTTGTGTATTGCATTTTCAGATTTGTTTTTGTCTTTCCTAACACAATTCAATCTTACCTGACATAAATTAATGATTGATAATAACTGTGATCTGTATGACCAAGATCTTCTAATGTTAATTTTCGTTGTAAAATTTGTTTATAAAAAGCAAGAGTAAGTCCACCATCAATACAGCGACCGTGAAAAAGTGCCTGAAATATAATTTTTTAAAGAAAAATAAGAAGTTGTGTATTCAAAAGGACTGGCCACTAAGAATACTTGTTATTTTAACTTAGCTATAATTTCATTTGTAAAACGGGAAAGTGTAATAAACTAATTCGATGAGCACATGAATAAATTAAATGCTCGCGTACCGAGAAGTACTACGCAGTGTATGTTGAGGATGTTAGATACCCAGAACTCGCTTGATAAATATCTTTATTTTGGATTTATTTCATGGACCGATCAGTTGACCTTGAGATCATATTTCCCACCAGAAAAATCCTTGGCTGTGTGATTGGTTACTGTGTCATTTTAGTGTGCTATTTTTGTGACTATCCCAAGGACGTCTCTATAGAGTATAAATAAACGCAATTTGAGTGCTTGGATTCATTGTATGCTGGCTGGGCGTTTGTAGAATACAATTTCCACGCTATATCAAGACTTCTTACTGATTCAATTTGGTTAAGGGAACACAGTAGCCTACCTGGACGCTGGTTCATTATTTTTCTCGTTGTTCATCTAAGGTGAGCTCGTAATAGTTTAAGCATACCTAGAGACGAGCGTAACAATGTACAAGGCTGAATTCCAAAGAGTCTTTTTGATAATTCCCTGAAACTAACTACAATTAGAATTTAGTGTACTATACGATTGGGATTGACTTAAATTAGGAATTAGATTGTAATGGGTAAAATTTGTCACAAGTAAACAGGCTATTAAAAAGTATTAAGTGTATGAAGTTAGTTAGATTTTCCAAACTAAGCAACTATAACCAGTATGAGTCTGTGTCACGTATTAGTTTAAATCTAGACAACCAAGTTATATGAATACAAAGTTTGAATTCTCCTTGTAATCCTGACATAATGAATAACTGTCACAGTTATTCATTATACTCAGAGTCTTTACCAACCTATGGTACACATAAATATTCACTGCTGAGGTATGTACATATTTCTTCGTTTGATGAAATTCAGACGAATTATTGATGCAACGAAAATGAGGTTAAATAACAAATACACATATTCAAAACTCTTTCTATGTAATGTCTAGAAATAATGTTTGAATCTGAATGGACAGACAAAGAAATGTTTTGATTAGTTTTCAGATAATCATACACAGGAAAAGCATGATTTAATTGAACGCGTCAAACAAGGGTATATTATATTGGTATTAACAATAATAAAGGGTAATGGTAAGTTGTAAATTAGTTTACATATGCTAGAATATAGTCAGAGATAGAAATTCTGAACAAAACTAGTCAAGATATTAAATTTAGTCAATCATCAGTAAATTGACTAATAAATACAAACACACAAACAAACAAATTCTCACCTAATGGTCTATAATTAGCAAATAAAATTGCTAAGACTAATGTGTCTTATTGTTAAACTAAAATAACACTTCAGAATTTATACTTTGAAGCTATAACACAAAGATTTAGATGCATGGAGATGTTATCCTAATAGTGAGTACATAGAAATCGAAGTTTTTCTTCCCATATTGTGCTGTTCTTCACCCTTTGTAAATTTCATCAAGACAAGAACAACAATTACTGCTAAAATTGATGTTCGCATTGTCATAGAAATTTGAGTTTTGTTGTATACAGTTATCAGCAGTGTAAGTAAAACAGAAAAATTTCTCCTCTGATGCATGATAGCAATATGAGTAATAGTGACTGATTAAAAAGAAAATGAAGCGCATAGAAGTCACAGTAAAATAGTGACAAATTTTAAAAGTGGACAAACAATAATTTACAAACGATGAGTTATGAAAATATAACACATAGAGTGGAAAGCACCCAACTGCATCACAACACAATCTCTCACTTGGAACCCCCTCAAGGCCAGAAGAAAAGAGGAGAGACACCGCACACTTTACGCCGAAAAATGGAGAAAGACATGAGAAGAATGAACAAAAATTGGAAAGAACTGGAAAGAGAAGCCCAGGACAGAGTAGGTTGAAGAATACTAGTCGGCGACCTATGGCTCAATTGGTGGGGGGAGGGTAACAGGCTAACTAAAGTAACTCTATCCAAATGAATCTGAATTTGTAGATGAAACAAATGTCAAATGATAACAATTAGGTTTAATAACACATTCGATCAAATAAATAGGTTTTAAATGCATTTACATGTAACCGTGTAGTTGTATTGTTAGTTAGAGATCGTAAAAGGAAAAGAATTGAACATATTGCATGAGGTCGTAAAAACAACACTGGGAATTTGTGAAGAATGAGGAGATTAATGAATTGTTTAGATAGATAATAATTAATGTAAATAATTTGAATTACCTATATGAGTAAGTATGATAAGGTTGCAATAGATCATCTGTTATGGATATAGTTTATCAAATAAGAAACAGTCAAATAGGTTCTAAAAATAATTTCAGTATTAAACAAGTACATATTTATAGATTAGCTTTTGAGTCACATCTATTCGACGAAGGCTAAAGATACTGGCCATTAATACAAATTAGAATAGGGTAAGACAAGATTAGAAATATGTCACACAACAACTAAGGGTTGGACAAAAGCTTTACTAAACCAACACTCACATACAATATCATCATTGATTTATTTTCTCATATTTTACATATACACTGCTTTCATGCATTTTTTTAAAGTTGGTACTGCAGTAAGGTCAAGTTCTATGCGTATTAGAAGAGGATACCGGATTAAATTTTAAAAAAGAAACAGATCATACAATCTAACTTAAATTGTTTTAATGCATATGCCACAGTTCACTTATTATTGATTTCAAACTAGGTGAGATAAGTTATCAACAATACTACACGTAAAAAATTAAACCTACCATACCAATAAAACGTCCAACAAATCGAAAATACGCCATATGATTTGGATTGACATGAGAGGCTGGATTTACTTGTAGGGCATAATCTGTTCCAGTATACTCAAACAAACCAAACATTGGGTTTAAAATTTCTCTTGAAAGACGGTAGAACCATTCTCTGGAACAAAAAGAAAATAATTCAGTCATACAAACACATAAGTGATTATGAATTCTGTCATGTTCATGATAGGCTGAATATTAAAATAAGTGAGATAAAAATAAAAACAAACTTTCTACCACATGAATTCAGTGATTTTAGTTGGAGAAACATTGACAAAGAATAACGATAACATTAAGTACAAACAGATCGTAAGAGTAGATTTAATTAATTTATCAAGAATTCTTGATAAGGCGTAGAAAAGTGTATTCTACAAGCACCCGGAAAATATGAGATCGACAAGCACACAAATCGAGCTTATTTATACATGATAGAAACGTCCTTGGAAGAGCCACAAAAATAGCGTACTAGAATAATACATCAACAAATGACAGTTAAGGACTTTCCGAGTGGGAAATTTAATCTCAAGGTCAACACAAAAATCCGAAATTAGGACCTCTGCCAAGTGAGGAGTCCTAGGGATCTAACGTCCCCAACAATCATACGTCTCACCACGTTCCATGAGTTATGTGGAACTGGCTAACAAGCAATCTCTAAACAATTACTTCACCTTAGTGTAGATCGACCGAATTTCATAAAAACATCACCAGAAGGTTGGACAATATGTTACTTCAGAAATGCTACACGGCATAATTCGCAAATTTTTAGTGATAAAATACTAAAAAAAATGGGATAATTGACAGAGTTTAAGCATAAAATTACGGATAATGTAATCTGGTAAATAAGGAAGATTATTAGTGATAGTTTTTATCGGACTGATATCCACCATTATAAAAACAATAAAAAGTAGAGCATGCCGACGAATTAGTTTCTTTCAATGTAGTTAGGAATGAAGCATACGCTGATTAGTGTTCTTTTGTTTTATACTTCGTGTCATTTGATAATGAAAATTATCTAAAATAATCAATACAGTCAAATGAATTGAGAACAAACGACGGGTTTCAAAATTTTACCATGGAAACTTAGTTATTGGATACAATTGTCATAATGGTATTAATGTTCACAATACAATCAATTTGAAAACGTCCATATACCTGGCTACTCCACCGTAATCCAAACCTTCTTCATGTAGAAATGTAATGGATAAACGTCTTCTTAGACCAGATGAAGACATTTGGGATACCTAAGGTGTCAGAGGGAAGTGTAAATTGAACGCAATAGAAATGTTTATAATAAGCGTTAAATCATTCAGTTATGCCATGTTAATAACATGCATATTAAGTTACTTAAGAAAATATTAATAAATATAGACTTTAGCAGGTTATTATCCCTGCAAAGCATCCACATGTTTATGCAATTATTTTTCAGAGAGCTCTTATCAATTCCTGGCTGAAATAAAAGTTAGCAATTTAAGCCAATGTTTAGGCTTTAGCTTAAGGTTGTTTATGCGAACTCGCTTCTCAACATGTACGTATTTAGCAACATCAAGCAAACTAGATGAATCATGGCACATATAAACTTGGCACTTTTTAAGTCAATAACAAAGTTAAATTGTTTTCGACTCTAAACAACGAGTGTCCTGCTACATTGACAAGTCTCTGTTGTTGTGCTTGTATCATGGAAGCGTGACAATTTTTTTGTTTTATTCACAAGTTTAGTTTTCATGGCTGTTAGGTTCCTTCGGTTGTCAATTTGATACTGTGATTAGAAGTGATAAATTAATCTTATTTATGATTCTTACGGAACTTATCTCATCTTTTCTGATAAGACACTAAAGTCAGAATATACGATGGGAGTAACAGGCTAATGCACATGATACCTGTTTTGTTCAGACAGAAATAAAACTTTCCAATAAGAAGCGGAATGAACATTATTTATTGTTTAATTAGTCATGAAATTTCGTCAATAAATTCTCACCTACTGAAAAATAACGAGCATCGACAAAGACGTAAAACTTAGTGTTATACCATTCATAATCGAATATCACAGCTTCAAAAAATTGTACGAAAATCACACATTAGCGTACAGGAAACTAGCTTTTAGTTTTTTTTGAAAAATTGAAATGTTTATGCACTCACGCACTTACCAGTTGGAATGAGTCCTCCAATAAATTGTCTCTAGATATAAGAAGTTTAGTCTGCCCACTTAACATGGCATTTGTACAACAAGCACGAAAATAGTTTACTTTGGATCGGAAGTTTCTCTCATATTGCAATGGGACTCCCATACTGCCTAGTGAACTATAAAAAAAAATAAAAGAATGAAATGAAAGGGGAATTTTAATTTCTCTCAGAAATCGGGCTGAAATTTGTGCACGCTTCCAGTGTTGTCTCACTACTCGCAAGTAGTCTGAAGTATTTTGTAAAATAAAATGTAGATGAGAAAACTAGGCCGCTTGATGAACCAATTTATGGAAAACGCAAGATAGGAAGGTTTAGTTTCATACAGTTTATTTATTCCAATTTTTAAAAATATACGAAAAAAGATATCGAATTGGAACGATCAACACAAAAAATAATAGGTAACATGATTTAGAATATATGGAACACTATCACCGGGATCCAGAAAGCTCGTATTATCCCCATTTAGGGTTCGACGACCGGTTGCATCTGCATCTTAATGATGATATTCACCTCAAGATTCAAACCTAGTGCCTTCCATCTTGAATGTTAAGTGTGTAAACTACTGATTCCAGGACATCAATAGCTTGTTTAATGAGTATGACATTTTGCATTGTTAGTGAGGGTTTCATTATTCCAATGTTAACACCAAAGAATAAATTTGTGAATCTGTACATCGATTTCATCGAAATTCAGTACCGAATGTCAAAAACAAGATAATACAAACTCTTATTATTAATGTCACAAATATGAAGATTTACATTTTTTAGATTTACTAGATCAGTCAAGCTGATTCCTCTCTGAATGTCACAAGTTTTATAAATTGGGACAAGCAGTGATTGAGAATAGTCAGATGGGATCACGCCACGCTTCTGAATTCTACCCAAGATTGCGGATAATACAACTGCTAAAACTGGACCATCATCCTCAAAAATTTCAGGACTTAGCCGATTAGGACCCGCTGCTCTCCCTAGCCTAAGATTTCCTATAGCTTTTCCAACTTCATTTTCATGCAACAACCGTAATACTCAAAGGAGAATGAGAATGGGAAGTAGTGAGATGGATAAAGATTTCGGTTCACTTGAAATTCAATTTACAATTGCTTTTGAAGATTAGGGAAGTAAGAAGTTGAATCGGTGTAAACTTTGGTTTTGAGTCATATCACATCATGGTCGTGTAATCTCTATGACACTATCCGCGGGGTCACTATAAGTCAACAGATCTTGATTTGAAAGAGTTATCTTTAAACCCGCTGCAATAGTTTATGAACAGATCGCTTCTCTACTCTGTCCAATCCATGCAGCACCATACATAAAATATACTGGATTGTTACTCAAATAAAAGTCGTAATCTTTAAGATGAAGGCCAGTTGAACTGATCCCTGGTTTGGAGCGGGGTTTCAGGAGACAAGGAATTGTATTTCGTGAACTCAAGTCGTTTGTATCAGCGGCGGGAGGTGGAAAACGAATGAAAGTTGGTCGTGGAGATAAGCGAGTTATTAAGAGGTGTAGGAAGGATTTGATTGTGACCAATTTGGTCTCGTGCGTTTTTACGGGTATGAGGGTGGATATCACTTCCCGGCTGCACACCGTGGAAGGGTGCTTCTTGAGGAACTTGAAAAAGAAGTTAGATTAGAATTACTGCAGTCACAGCTCTCTACAGCCAGCAGTACGACTTCGCCCTCAGACCTTAAGTTGCTACTTTTAGTCTTACCGTTCTCCAACCGAGCTACCTGGAATGGTAGAACCTTCAGGAACATATGTTCCAGCCAATATAGCTCGGTTGCATCATCACAATAGGCAAGTCCTACCAAAACATCAAGGTAGCAGCTACGGTCGGCCTCACCATTCTCATCTACAATCTGAATCAAAAAGTGATTTTGGGAAAGTGTTGAACGATTGTGAATACAAATATATTATAAAATAGCCGAACACGATTTTTGTTACCCAGCATGCTGTCCAGTACGTGGATCGACAAGAGTAGTAGTATGCGTATTATGATCAATGAAAAACCTTTGTCCTTGAGCCGTATAACGTTTCTCCCATCCAGGTGGGAGAGGTTGTGTTTCATCCATTCCACGTTCACGTGGATCCTCCCATTGAGTGATTTTACATTTATGGTTCACAAAATAATATTTTTGAGTTGATTTATCAAAACGTCTTTCTGCATTTAGAAAGGTAAAAATAATAAATTAATTACGATACATAAATATAATGGAAAAAACATAGGGATGAGACGTGGTTCTTAAGATATTAAACAAGAATAAACACTAAAGGTTGACTAATTAAGAGAAAAAGCGAGAACAGTAAATTCTCGTAAATCTATAATACATAATCCGTTTTTTACTCAGCCAGCTACAGTATGAGAATAATTAAGGTTTTTACACACTAAAGAGCAAGTCAGAAATGCTTTTAAATCTATTTTGAAAGTCTAATCAAACATTGATGGCTCATATCTGTAAATGTATGTATTTTGATTATATACAGCGTAAATCATAAGCCAAGGATGAACATTTCAACTGAATAAGTATTCAGTGACAGATTTAAAGTGTCGTGAATTCTGCAGAGGTCATTATTGAAATCACTGGCAAATTACAGAAGTACAATTTAACTTAATTGCAGGACCGGATCATGTTGATGTGTCAGCAGTGTTCATAGAATAAAGCACTGAATTTATCATAAAATATACGGCATATGAGACAATATTTTTTGAACATAACGGACAACAAACTAAAAGTGACTAAAGATTACTTATTAGATGATCAGTTAACGTTTCGGATGGTATTGCCTTGTCAAAAACCTACTTAAAGATAACTACAGAGCTGAAAATTTAAAAGCGAAATGAAGGTCAAAAACAATTCAAGGTAAGTTAAGAATTACTCACCCCAACCTGGTGGTAATGACTTATCAGTTTGAGCATTTCGGGAAATAACATTTGAATTTGATTGTGAAGATGAAGTGGGTAAGTTGTTAGCCTCCCAGAAACCATCGACTTCAGTCCAATCATTCAGAGGGCGTTGCCTGTCAGGTAATTCTAAATCTTGATCTCTAGAAGTTGAGTCAACAGTTGCTAAAGTATTTTTAGTAGATGGAAATTTATGGGATCCAAATAAAGATCCTATCAAAGCTGACCAGAAAGTCCTATCATGTTGATTTGTTGGCACTCTAGGCCCACTAGAGATGCTGGGTTCCGTGTGTGAATTAGATCCGTCTGCACGTTGAACACGATCAGTTGTAATCACAGTAGTATATCCATTTACTGACTGATGATGAGACCTAAACCATAGAGAATGTAATATAGAGCAGATAAGAAAGTAATAAGTATATCGAAATGGTGACACAAATTATGATCGCCTATTTCAATGGCCAGAAAGTGTAGTAGTCTATTCCAGATATGAGAGTTATTTCGTTTGCGAAATATACTTACTTGCGCCTATTAACCCCAATGCAGCATAGGTTACCGATCAGTATTCTCCATCCTACTCTGTCCTACGCTTTCCTTTCCAGTTCTGTCCAAGTTTTGTTCATTCTTCTCATGTCTTTCTTTATTTCTAGGCGTAATTTGTTTCTTGACCTTCCTCGTTTCCTTTGATCTTGAGAGTTTCAAGTGAGGGATTGTCTTGTGACGCAGTTCGGTGCTTTCTGCAATGTGTTCTATCCACTTCCACCGCTTCTTCCTGATTTCTTCCTAAGCTGGAATCTGTTTTGTTCTCTCCCACAGTACGTTGTTGCTGATGGTGTCTGGCCAACGAATCTGAAGTATTTTGCGTAGACAACTGTTATTAAATACTTGTATCTTCTGGATGACGGCTTTGGCAGTTTTCCAAGTTTCCGCTCCATATAGTAGAACTGTCCTGATATTTATATTGAAAAGTCTGATTTTGGTGTTTGTTGATAACTGTTTTGAGTTCCAGATGTTCTTCAACCATAGAAATGCAGCCCTTGCTTTACATCTGCATCGGAACCATCGTGATCGTAAACGATGCTGCCCAGATATGTAAAGTGTTTTACGTCCTCCAAGACATCTCCATCAAAAGTGATTTGATTGGAGCATGTTGTGTTGTATCGGAGAATCTTGCTCTTCCTTTTACGTATGTTGAGAACTTCCGCTGCAGAGGCTGCTGCTTCACTGGTCGTCTTCTCTCGCATTCACTGTTGCGTGTGGGACAGAAGAGCCAAATCATCTGCGAAGTCCGGCTGCATCCCAGTTTTCCAGTGGATACCGTGCTTCCACTGAGATGTTGACGTCTTCATAGTCCAGTAGCTCCCAAGGAGAAAGAGAAACGGTCAGAGTAAGCAACCTTGCCTGACACCGGTCTTCACTTCGAATGAGTCAGTGAGCAGCTCTTTATGTACGATTTTGCAGTGTAACCAATCATAAGAATTCCGTACGACGTTGACTATCTTCTTAGGCGCACTATAGTGTCGAAGCAGCCTCCACGGTGTCATCTGTCCACGCTGTTGAATGCATTCTCGTAGTCAAAGAAGTTGATGTACAGTGCAGAATTTCATTCAATCGATAGTTCCACAATAATCCGTACTGTTTCGATTCAGTCGGTAAATGATAGATCTATACAGAATCCAGCCAATTGATCTTGAAGTTGCGCGACTATGGAATCATTTATCCGCTTTAACGACACCGTTCAAGACTTGTCCTGGTATTGAGAGAAGAGTGATGATGATGATGGTGTAGTTCTCACACTTGATGAGATCGCCTTTCTTTGGTATTTTGGAAAGGAGTCCTCCTTTCAGTTCGTTAGTACTTGTTCTTCATCCGGAATCTTGCTGAACAGAGCATGTCTGATGGCCATGCTAATCTCTCCAATTGTTGGTGGGTCAAAATCGATTGGAAGGTACGTGAGCGCTGCCTCAATGTTGGGTGGGTTCAATGGAGCTGGTCGATTCAATAGTTCCTTAAAGTGCTCTACCCACTTGTTTCACTGTTCACCAACGTTGATGATTAGTTTGACTTCGTTGCTTGTCACTGGTCGTTCTGGTTTACGATAGTTTCCAGCGAGCTTCTTTGTTGAATCGTACAATTGTGACAAGTTTCCTTTTCTTGCGGCCTTTTCTGATGTCATTGCTAGATCTTCCACATATTTTCGTCTCTTGGCTCTGATGCTCCTCTTCACTTCCTTGTTTGTTTCTGTGAACTCAGTTTGTGGCTTTGCTTTCTGTGCTCTTGCACATCTGATAGTGATTGTTGCATTCATGTTCTTCCTTTCTTGAGTCATATTCAGAGTATCCACAGAGATCCATTGCTTGTGACGGTGCTTCTTGTTGCCCAGAACCTCCTGACATGTGGAAGGTCTTGCTCTTTTGATCCTTTTCCAGTTTCCTCTGCACTGAGTAGATCACGAAAGGCCTTGAACTGATTACTGAGAGTTATCCTGAATTCGTTGAGATTTCCAGTATTCCGAAAAAAGGCCGTACTAAAGTTGTTTTTTTTTCTGTTAAGCGTTTTTTTGGCGAGTTGGTTTTTTATGGGGTCACCAAACCCAACCTTAACTCACCTCTTTTACGTGGGCTTGGGACCGGCAGCAGCTCGAGGGGCTTCAGGAGGATTTTTGCGAAATATAATAATAATAATAATCTAAGGATGGATTAGTTTGTATATTAGACTAATTAATAAACATAAAAGCCGTTTGAATCAACAAATCACATAACGATAAATCATAAAAATGATCGGAACAAACAAGCTAATGACGACTTGTTCTAGAGTAATAATCCCTTCTAGTGGGACGACAGATAGATTCATTATCACACAAACCATTGTACAATCACAGTCAGAAATACTAAAATGCTATAATATTTGAAAGTCTACAGCATAAAAAAATGATGTTTAGTAAAATATTCAAGATTTAAATGAATACAGAGAATAGAACATTGAGACTGATTCCGAGTCATATCTTGTAGGGTTACTGATAAAATAGGAAAACTGATCGACAAACTAATCGGACAAAATACCAACAGAATAAGTTTCCGAACACGCACTAAGTAGTTGAAAATTTTATTGTGAGAACTAAAGCTACAATCCATATAAAAATTATTAATCAAGGATAAAATGAAGCTCGCAAAAATGGTTCCTGGCTTCCACGAAATAGTAGCATTTTCATGCAACAACCGTAATACTCAAAGGAGAATGAGAATGGGAAGTAGTGAGATGGATAAAGATTTCGGTTCACTTGAAATTCAATTTACAATTGCTTTTGAAGATTAGGGAAGTAAGAAGTTGAATCGGTGTAAACTTTGGTTTTGAGTCATATCACATCATGGTCGTGTAATCTCTATGACACTATCCGCGGGGTCACTATAAGTCAACAGATCTTGATTTGAAAGAGTTATCTTTAAACCCGCTGCAATAGTTTATGAACAGATCGCTTCTCTACTCTGTCCAATCCATGCAGCACCATACATAAAATATACTGGATTGCTACTCAAATAAAAGTCGTAATCTTTAAGATGAGTTTTGCCCTGAGCCTAAAAGTAATTTGCATCGTCAGATTTGTTTTGTTTATCACGCAGCGATGAAAAGATAACTAATAAATGGAAGAAAAGTTCTATCGTATGGTTTAATATGAACATGAGTTTCTTCTAATCATATAAGATTTTTTTATACTTGGAAGATGCAACGAACATATTATACCAACAAATACTGATTATTAAATGACTATCATGAGATTTAGGACTTGACTGTGAATAGAGAATGAGAATACAACACTTGAATGACCCAATATATTTCACTCAATGCAATTGACTTACAGAAGTAGCAGAATGAAGTGCAATTTAATAAGGTAAAATTACATTGTAAACCTCTCAAATATGTCAGTCTCACGATCCGGACAAGGACATTAAGCTTACAGTTATTTGATCAATATAAATATAATCCAATCGATGTGACATTATTTAGTCCAGTATACGTCAGATTATTTATCAATTCGTACCACCAAACAGTAAGAAAATCTGGTTAACAAGCTCAGGACTTGGTGTTTACATATATTTCAGATTTTAAAAGAACTAGCTCCATACGCTATATGTAGACATATCAGAAGAATGAGATCGATGCAACAGTTACGGAGGAAATGATCAAATTAGGCAACACTGAAAAGACTCTTCGTCAATCTGCAAACATAGAGAATGTTTAATGTATTCTGTCATTCTGCGTAGGGTCGGCAACTTGCATTTCTGTATAAGGCTAAGTACCATGTTAAAAATCGTCTTTCTGGATAAGTTTCGTCTAATTAATCGATAGCATCGTTAATAGTATCAAGATCTCTAAAACTGACGTAGAGTATATGTGATTGTTAAGATATAACTAGGGTTGGAGACGGACCTGACAGTTGAGAGTCAGTTTCTAACTCGTTTAGTGTAATGTCACCATTTTCATTGCAGTTATCATTTTTAAAGGAACAGGTACCAAACTTATATCGAACGAATTTCACATACACTACGTATGGTACTTTAGTGATAGGTATAGTAACTGCTTTGTTTTGAAGTGAATGAGTAATTTAAACCTGTTGTATTTTTTTTTACCAAAGTAATGCATTTATTCCTAGGTGATTTGAATTCCTAATAAATCTTCGTATTTTGGAGTGTATTCATTTGAGTCATGGAACACACTTTTGAAGTTATTGGAGTTCCGTACCAACCAAATTTACTGTCAAAATGTTTACCCAAGTGTCCTAGGATTGGTTTCCTGACATGAAAATTTTATTATTGATGACATGAGTGAACCAAACTAGCTTCTAAAAACCTTAGATGCAGTTGCTTCCTTTATTTTTATAGCAGCGTTTGACCATCCAATGTCACGGTTTTCAAAAAACGTTCTAACATTTTCTTAGGTTATTGACGGGAAACTGTAATAATTGACCAGAAAAAATGGAACGCATTGTTTCAAACCGGCCATGTCAGATATAACTTTATGTTAGCGGCTATTTGGTAAGTCAAGACGATTTAGAACGCCCAAAACACCAATGGTAACGAGTTCCTGATTATGATGAAAATGCAAAAAAGAAACAGTATGAGCCATATGAAAGAAAGACAGATTAAAATACATGGATTGATGTAAAATGAGTATTTTTCAATAATATAAGCAAGGATAGTAAAATTTTTGAAGCAGCCTTTAATAATATATATGATGGCGTTGACACTACTGTAGTTGGTCAAAAATGAAAGTAAACGGGCTTTTATTCGAAAGAACACTCTCATTCAAGACCGGTTAGAAGTTGGGTTTACGATCGTTTCATTCCAACTTTATCGAGTGACGAGAAGACTTACATGCCACTTATTGGTCCATAAATCTGTTATCGACCCAAACTACTCGACATGGGACTAGTTTTCGAAAGAAGTGGAATTTTCCCATCTGTCCACCGGATTAAACTCAGAATATCTGATTGCATCGTTTAACACTAAAAACAGGTATTTGTTTTGTTTACGGGCAAAGAAAAGAACTATTCCAACATAGGTAGCAAAATGTGGGCAATATATCAAAGCATTTTGAAGGTGAAGACGAATTACCCCTAGTATTAACCCTACCACAGTATTAGAATGCTTGATTAGACAACAAATATGTGCTGGTTTAAACACACGTGTCATTACGTGGAGATTTTCGCGAAACATACTTTTTTTAATGGATAAGACTAATAAACGTTTATTCATAAAGGAACTAGTTATTTGTATCTGTAGTTCATACTCTAATGTATATTAGTGTTTCATCGAACCTATTGTTAAGGCAACTGTAGTCATATAGTAGCTTGTAACCACAAACTCAAACTAATTAGTCCGCAAATATTCACATTCAATGGCTCTGTAAGAAGTGATGGAGAGTAAGAAAAAACATGGAACAACTACACCATGGTCAAAGAGAAAGACTGGTTAGTTTCTCTTGCGATCTAAAACACCTTCAAAGGCTGAGGACAAACCGAAAGAGCAAAACCCACAGGTTTGAACCTGCTTATCGAAACCGTGCTCTACAGTGTTAGGTGACAACTTGATGGGTCATGATGCAACCTCATTGATAGAATTTAATTAGCACTGAAGGACTGGAGAGAAGGAAATAAGTTATTGCTCACTCGTTAATCGGTATATATATATATATATATATATATATATATATATATATATGAACCGTTGAATTCCTGCTGTTCGGACGTAGGCAGTAATTAGATGCAACCATTAATTTAAACTAGTGTTCGAGAAATTTCCCACAGCTCTAACTACGACTGCTTTTATAACGGAAAGGTTACTTGAGACAGTTAAGCCACATAGAATTAACATGGATCGTTAAAGTGGGAATTTTTTAAGAATAGTCTACAATAGCTCGTTACATTCAGATCGCAAACCAACAGCCAATAAATCTATGTTGTATGCGAATCTGAATAAGGAATTTCAAACTGTTTGTACCAATTAAGGTTTTAGTTCATGAGTAGCGAGTGCCAACAGTTAACAATTCCCATGAAACAACAGCTTTCAGCACATAATTAGGTGCAACTTCTACGTTCCTAATTTCTATAATAGAGTAGACAGAACCATTATATACTTCATGATGTAAACTACCTCGCATACACTTTGTTTTCCTGACCGACCTCAACGAAACAACTAGAAAGGCGCTTGGAGAATACGTTAAACTTATTTAACTAGTTTGTAAACAACTATTTCGTATGAATAGAAGGTCGCTGTATACGGAGTAAACATAATGAGTTGCAGGACTTTCAAATGTCCAATCTAAATTTTTGTGACAAAACATTCAAGAAATTACAGACAGTAACGCTCAATTTTACTAAATGTACATATATTAGGAACAAGGAGAATACCCTCAAATAAATCATACGAAATCTGGGATTTTGAAATCTTGCAAGACAGATATCACAGCTATATATATATATATATATATAATCCAGGTCAGAATACTCTTGAGACTGGGTTATCCACGGTCATGTGAAAAAATGTCATCAATGGTAGCATTCATCAAGAACATCCAGTCACAACTTTGTTTCGCAATGATATTCCAAGTAACAATCTCTATCCTGAAGATCTATTGATCAACATAGTGTGCAGGATACTTAGTTATGTGAGCGAAGACTCCGATAAGACCCAAGAACATTAAGATACGTTGGGTGAAGAAAAAAATTATTCAGCACCTGCTCTACAAATTACAGATGTCGAATGACGCTTCATGGATAATTTAATATAAAATACAATTTGGAATAAATAGTAAATAAGTTCAGAATGTGTATTATTTGACGAAAACAAATATTTATACTACCGCTAATTAAATGATCACCGATAAGACCTTCGTACTAATGCAGAAATCTCATTTGACTACGTATGTTATCAATGAGTTTGGTAAACAACAATTTGGAAATGAGTAGACTGACACCAGTCCACTGTTAATGTATGACTGTGAGACGCGTTTCAAAGGTGGAAGATATGAGTGGATTACATGTATACAATGGTTATATTAGGAGCATAGCTCGTTTGTGTTGGTATTATTGATTGAACGTGGTTGGGAATTGATGAGCTCTAGATGAGATTTAATCAGTCCGTACTTTTGTAAACTTGCATTGAGATGCTTAGACTGCATACTACATATGTCAAACAACTATCTCAAACGGCATGTACTTTCGACTAAATCAGATAAGAAATCAGTTAGGAAAGATGCTGAGGATAGTCAAACCAATATATATTACCAGTTTACGAAGTCACCAAATATTACCGAGTTATGTGTCAAAATCACTAGTTTTTGGGACAGGATAATACCAACGGTATGATAGGATGGAGTGTTTGATGATTCTATATGAAATGACTCGGAATCAATCACAGTAATGATGTAAATGGGTGTATTCTCTGTATTTCCCCAAATCTCGGATATTTTATTACTCTTTTTTTCCGCCTTAGACTTCTAATTATCATAGCATTTTAGTATTTCTGCGCGTTATTGCATGATGTTTTGCGTGACAATCTATCTAACTGATATTTACTTCGTTTAATTTATGCTAAGCTTGTACATATTGTATAATGGTGCAGTAAATAAGATTGTCAATTGATTTATCAATACAATTAAACCACATTGTGAGTTGAATTAAAATGAACCTTCAGAAGTTCCCCATATCGGATGTTGCTGGGGAAAAATAAACAAGTCTCAGGTAATTTGAGATTTTAAAGGTGATTTCAGATAATTGGGCATACTGGAGCCCGCAGTCTGTGGACCGAAAAATATTTCCAATGAACATTATATGTAGTATTAATTAATGGAAAAAACGTTGGAAGCAGTTTGATTTATTTCTGAGGTCATGAAGTACTTGTAAAATGTAACTTTGTTATTGTGTCCAAAAATCAATTTTTCACTTCTAGTGAATACTGTAATCTTTGTTTAAGAATAAATAATGAGCTAATATCACGTAAAGTGTCGAATAAATCTTCTTTAATTCACTGCTCGTCACAATTTTTAATAATCACAAAAATATTACTTTGTGTAATCCAATTAGCTGACACTTTTACCAATAGGTTTGCTTGAGTCATTTCGACAAGTGATTATATTTTAATGGTAGTTACCGATGAATACTCGATGTTTAGAATTTCTCTATATACCAGTGCTCTTAGGGAGGTATAGGTCTTGTTTTTTTTTTACATTTGAATACACCATTATGCTTTTCTCAGTAGAAAAATGACTAGAAAGACAAATAAAGTATTTAAGGGAAAAAAACTGGCAATATTTTCAACTGGTACATGAATATTACAAGAGAAACAACGTTATCAGAATCATCGCCTCGAAAGCTGTCTCTTTTACTTTGTCAATGTATTCAAAGGGAGCATGAACAGTGCAAAAATGATTTTGTGACCATTGGTATTTGTGGAAATCGGATAGTTTGCTTGAATATGAAGCAAGATAAACATCAATATGATAAAGTAGTTCATGATGAATTATGGGCTGGGAAATAGAAAACAAGAATACAGAACAGAGATGGCTGTTCGTTTAAAGAAAGAGAATTTAATCCTTTGTAATATTCTAGTATATCTGACTGGTATTTTCTGAATAAACTCAGTTTTACTGAAAGGATAACCTTTTTCTCTTTGAATAAAACTGAAACTTATACTGAAAATTTTATATGTATACCGGAGAAAAGCTACAATAATCAACTGGTCTTTAAGAAAATTCCTTTGTTAAATCTGCTTAAACCTAATTAATAATTAGTTGTTAATTAAAGTTGAAATATTCGCTTTGCAAACAGTTCAATTTGTATTTAAACCTTGGTTTCATTATACTCACATCATTAACGGTTCTCATGCTGTGGTTTTAATGAAATTCAGCTACGTTGATTAAGATTACAAAGAAATTCTTCAGTTAAAGATAAGTTTAATATGTTACCTTTGATGCTGAATAGCTGAAGGCTCGAATCCGTTGGAACTAGAGGGGACTTGCGGTAAATTGTCAATTATCTAGAAAGCAAGAGTAATAGTGTACAAGTACTGTGGTTTTGTCACATTAATATCAAGTTATATGGTAGTTACAAGCAAAACAACAGCATGTGTATCAACTAGTTAGAAGGCATTATAACACAGAAAGTGTGAGAAAATACACACTGTATGACTAGTTTCTCTAAACTATGTTCGAGCTTACTTACCACGTTCATAGAGAGTTGAACAAAAATGTAATTCAATGACTATAGATAGGTTCATACATTATTTGGTAGCTAAGGCTCATTGAGTTTAGCATCTGACTTTCTACCAGAAAGCCACGGGCTTGAAACTTGTCCTATTTACCTGGGTTTTACTGATTATAAAGCGTTACCAAAACAAAAAATGTGTTGTGTTTATTAGCAAAATAAAGTAAGTTATACATTATTGTTGAAAAAATATGAAGATTCACATTTTTCATGGTCGTCCTAAGTAGGGCAGATAACGTCAACGTACACAGTTGAGTATCATGTTATCATCTATGTTGTTTGGTCAAAAGATTAAACGTGGCGTACGGCTCCTAAATGAGTCGCAATTATTAAAGTCTGACGTTTAAAACAGTGAGTAGAAACTTCCAAAATATATGGATGGTGACTAAGTTCTCATCTATACGAGCCAGTCTGATAAAACTCATGTATAGGGGAAATTATATACCATGTTATTAATTGCTTCAAAATAAAAGGTTATATGAGTTTCGAAACCAGAGAATCTAAACCAATTTGAAAGTTTTTAATATTTGCGCTCCATACAAAAGAATGTGGATTTATTTAAAACTTTCCGTTTCGTAAGTAATTCATACTATGAAGAAGCAAGCATACACCAGATATTGAATCTTCGGTTTTGGACAAGTTAGTGTATTGAACTTTCTACAGTAAAAACGGTTGTTATTTTAAATGGTGGTAAAAATTTGTAACTCAAGGTGGATTATTATGGTGGAGTTTCGTCCTCTGAACCGGATGTTTTGATTGCGGAGCTTTCATTGCTCTTCTGAACGACACCAACAGTATCGACACACTTCACTTCCACCTGAAGTTTGTGCTGATGATGTTCGGGAGAACGATGAAAGCTTCAAAATCAAAACATCCTGTTCAGAGGACGAAACTCCACTATAACGATTGTTATTTCTTACGGACAGGATAACTAGTGGTTTGAATCTCATACATTATTATTCAGAGGTATAGTTAATCACTATTTTTAATAATATCCAAAAGGCATACTAAGATCCATTACACCACTACATTAAGTGTAGCCGACTTTAAGTAAGTGATAGCCATACATCTTAGGGAACTACCACCCTCTACCCTTTTCAGAAGAACGTAGTCAATATAAACTTCTGAAGGTTTATTTTTTGGTCAATTCTGAATAGCTACAGACTATTACCGATTCTACCGTGATTGAGTGAGTTTATCCACAATAAACATCAGTTGCTATTGGATATAGTTGTTTTCAACATGCAAGCCTTTCTGAACTGAAGTAAAACCGCCGATGAGCTGAACATACGGAAAACTTTCAAATTAATTTTGCTTTTATTTTTATATAACCTTACTCCCAAGTGGATCAACATATTACATACTTACAGTTTAACAATGATGGATTTAAGGGATAAAAGTCTTGCGAACGAGACACACGCTACGTATGTAGATACTTAAAAAGGACTGGGAATCAATATAGTTGACAGCAGGCCACATAACTACATTACACTACGTCAGGTCCTAGAACGAAGACACACGTTCAGACGCCCAACAATAGTATTATTTCTCGAACTTAAAGCGGCATTCGACTCTGTGGATCGTGAGGTTCTGTTGCAGTGTCTATCAATAAAAGGTACACCGAAGGAGTACATTACCCTTATACATGCTCTCGACTCGAACACCACTAGTCGAGTAAGAGCTTATGGCGAACTGTCATCCGAATTCTTTACTTCAAGTGGTGTCCGTCAGGGATGTCCACATTCCCCATTCTTGTTTAATTTTGTCATAGACATGCTTCTAGAGTTAACACTATCATCATCTGACTCTTCAGGAGTGGACCTTTTACCAGGAAAATCGCTTGCTGACTTAGAGTATGCCGATGACATAGTTCTATTCGGTGAAGACGCTGACAAAATGCAGTTTTTTGACTACCCTAAGTAAAAATGCAAGCAAGTTCGGGAGGCGGTTTTCCCCTCGACATGCAAAATGTTGCTTCACTATTGGGTCGCATCGGCACCTGAACTAGTGATAGGGAGTGAAGTAGTCGAACGTGTAGACCGCTTCACTTATCTGGGTAGTCTCATCAGTGCTGATGGCCTGGTGGCTGACGAAATCTCAGCACGGATACAGAAGGCTTGATTGGCTTTTGCCAACCTGCTTCACTTATGGCTTGCTAACGAAAGGACGAGTCTACTGCGCAGCAGTTCGCTCTGTCCTACTTTATGGCTGCGAAACATGGTCAGTCAGAGCACAAGATATTCTTAGGTTACTGGTTTTCGACCATAGGTGTCTTCGAAGCATTGCTCGTATATCCTCGGACAACTAAGTAAGCAATGCTGTTATTAGGAAACGGGTGCTAGGTAGGGATGACATGTCCCGACCGTAGCTGCTACATTGACGTGGTGGTCGGGCTTGCCTATCGTGATGACCCAATAGAGCTATATTGGCTGGAACATATGTTCCTGTTCATTCTTTGTGTTCTCTCTCTTGAGGTGGTTGGGACACGTGTCACGTATGCCCAATCACCGACTGCCTCGACGAGCGACGTTTTGTGGTTTAGAAGTAGGGGCGGCCAGACCAAAACATGGCACAAATCAATGAAATAACTGAGAAGTGGACTGAGTCATGTTGGTAGACGTAGGCTATCTGGTTGGGGTCCGCGAGACGAAAGTCACCGATGGTTAGAGACCTTGAATTATACCTGAATTATAACCTAATCTTCTCCATTACCGTTAATGCTTCTACTATCGCTACCACTATTGGATTTAAACTGACTATTGCGTCTATGTGCTGATGCGGCATGGCAACCTGAACTGGTTTACATGCGTACGAACTTCTGTGTTGTATCTGTCATCGACAACCCTGGCCTGAAAGGTTAGGTAACATATTTAGACAATCCTAACACATTACATGAGTCTGTAAGTGGTTATTTAGCACCATCTACATATTATAAATTTGGAATATAGTGACGAAACTGATTGCTAAAATACTAAAATGAATGGTGCCAAAATATTTCCTTAATTTGGGTATGTGGATGGATAGTAAGTCGATCTAACAGTCCCGAAGTTTAACTGAACAGATTTTGTAGACCATATATACCATGTAACTAACTACTTAACAATAGAAACGGAGATCTATAGTAAAATATTCAGCCAATACAGTATGACTAAGGAATTTGAATTACTATGAAGCCAGCTATTAAGTAAGTTAGTATACACCCGAACTTCCTTTATTTGTAAAATTTTTTGTGAATATAGAAACAGGCTGAATACATATCACACTTTGATTAAACAAAAACTCTAAGCGCTTCAAAACTACGTTTGACTAGAAAAGTAAAGTATGCTATCATGTTGAACCTAGTCTTCTAACTACTTTTGCAAACTGTGTAATATCTTTAGTTCTTAAGGCAAGGTCAGTATGTAGGTGATGGGCAAGGGTCTGTTTTGTCTTTTAGGGACATTCATCTAACTCAGTAACAAATTCATGTGCACTATAAATCAGATGTACGGAATAAAATACCCCTCAAATCTTGAGATCAAAAATGACATTTATGACAAACTGCTTATTAGCTGCACCCCATACGTTAGGAGCAGTACAAAAGAATTTAGCAACGCCATGAACAGAAAAATATACAACATACGTCAACAGATAAACCTCAGATACAAATTTGATTACAGTAACCTACATTATTGTCGTTGTCCAGATTCTGTACACACATGTTAAGCTTATCCAGAATTACGAACACTGATCCTTTATAATCACATCCTTGGAACAGAGATAATCTCAGCTCACAATTGGAAACTACGAGGTAGAAAAATAAATTTAGACTTACGAACACCATTATGCTCAATGAGTATAGAGAAGAGATTGATGGCCGCAACAGCAATCAATACATCAGGTCCTAATTTGAAATGGTTAAAGACTTTTATTTGGATGGTGCTCTTTGGAGATGCAACAACTGAGATAGACTCATTCCATGTAGGATTCCACGTTTTAGGACAGACTTTAGTCTTGTAAACAAAAGTATTGTCAACTAATAAGTCTGCGAACAAATCACCGCTTTTGCTAAATAAACTTCTACACGAAGAGGAAAATGCAGCACATTTAACTAAACACGAATCAGAAATAGCAAGTGACCAACCTGTGATTACTAACTGGCTCAGTCTTCTTGAAAGAGACGTATCACATGTTGTAAGCATAGGGACAGCAAGGACTATGTAAAATATCAGCTAATGTATTTAATATATATTCGGATCTGAAGGAGTCGTTTTGGGAATGAAATATAAACTTTGAAGTTCATCGAATATCTATAAGAAATAATTTTTGAAAGGTAATGATAATAAGTAAGATTACTTACATCGATATTATTCTTACTATACTTGATAAGGACATTTCTAACACAAGTCATAAACTTTATATTTTTAAGGGTTACAATAAGAAGAGACCGGGTTTACTTAACGATATGGCCTGGTCGGTTAGAAGAAAATAGGTGGGTCATCGTCAAAATTTGGATTCAATGGCCATTAGGTTTGAACTGAATGACATGGCTCAAAACCGTTTGAAATGGCGCCGGTGCATTTATTCTTTGTGTTTTCTCAAATCCTAATCTTCTGGATTCTTCAACCCCTCTAGTTTTGACTCTCTAAACTTTTCTCACTGAATCATATTTCTTGAATATCTTCCAGTCCTAACCTCTCCGATTACTTGTAATACCTTTACTACCTCTTCTACTATTGAATTTGAATTGACAATTACACCTCTGTGCTGATGTGGTATAGCAACATGAACTGATGTACTTACGAACAAAGTTCTACGTTGCATCTGACTGACTGACTGACTGAGGTTTGGACTGGGTGAAACTCCGATGTCTGAACCACCAGAATTCATAATCAGAATAAATTCGCCTCGAATTATATAGCGGCAATCGATAGAATCATGTTTCATAATGTTCGATAATGTAACACTGGCAAGCAGATAGATATTTGTGGTTTAAGATGACTAGAGCTGCTCGAAACCAGCATTGGTTTAAATAGAACTGCCCATAATGCTCGGCTATCAAAGTGACACAATTTTGATGTATGTGGAGAGTGGATATACTACTCTGTCAGTTTAAAAGACAGGTATGTGACCTTAAACTGTTATGACTGGTTGCAGTAAGCAATACTACATGCTATAATGAGTAGTTCAGACCGTTGTACATTTTATCAAAAGTTACCTCTAGAGTCAAAACATAATTCGTAAGAAAAAGTGACCACAATTTGAGAGTAAAAGGTAACTGTATCATACCTGGAGAGTTCTTCGAAATCCAAATACTAATCATGATCTGGCCAATCACAAGTGTCTGACGCGGTGAAGGTCACATAGGTACCGCATAACGGACGTTGAAATGGACGGCAAAAATTTCAGAGGTTGAAGAACTTGACATGGGTAATTAGTCTTTTCAAAAAAAATTAAATCTGCTAAATATACAGGCCCATTTTCTCGGCATATATGTTCATGCAAAATACGTTTCTAAAAACTCCTACATGATTCGAAGGCATTCTGGGTCTAGATTTCGTAAATTCAGATGGTTTAAATGGTTGTGGCTAACCTGTATACATGATCTAGTTCATTTGCATCTCTTTGGAGAAGAACGGGAAACACTCTTTTTCATTACTTTTATCATGAAGTAATAAACCTGAAAACCCAACGCAAAGCTCTACTTACGAACTATCCGAAAATGAGACTTAATGGCACCGGTTTAAATCTTGCTCGAAAGGCATTATTGTCACGTTTGAGAGGTGGATTAGCCACTCAACTGAACCAGTTTTTTTCAGTCAGTGGGTATCTATCAATTTCTATATGCTGTGACTTGAGTGAGTGCGTTTGTCAATAGGCAGTAGGCCTTCTAAATACCAGTAGCTAAAACATTACTGTGCCGGAGATCCGTTAGTCAGTTAGTCACAATGAGAATAAAATTCTAAAACTAAATAGGGGACGAATGTTTCAGAAACTAATAGATCAAAAAGTTAAGTATTTAGTAATAATAATCCGTGTGTAAGTGTTTGTCAAGTCTCTTCTTGAAGCTATCCACTGAGGGGCTGTCGTCACTTCAGCTGATAGAACATTCCAAATATGAACAACCTTTAATAAGGAAAAGTGGGCGTAGTGATGATGTGTTAGCAGGATGATCGTGTTGTGGTGACTTGTCGTACTTGATGTATTGTATACCGTTCTCGGTTCATCTCTTATTTTCTTGCAGCTGGGCCAGAATAATCCTAGGTAATAGTTTGTTTTCCAGACTAATTCTTTGGTACGATCACACACTTACCTGTCTTAGTATTTTATCCAGAAGATTTGTATCTCGTTTGAAGACAAAGGGCCTGACAAGAATGTGGATTTCAGTAAGGGTAACGTGCATGTTTCAAAGAGAGTTATGAAGAGTTCCGAAGTGATTGAACCAAAGTGGTCTTCTTATAAAGTGGTGTCGCCTTTCTCTTGGATGTACCTTCGGTTTAGTTTGAACTGGTGTCCATTATGGGAGACAGAGCTGCGTGTGCACTAGGCGACGTTTCATTATTTAGGTGCTGCAGTTTCTGATGCAACCGTCCAGAGCTTAGTTTTATGGATGAGGCTATTTCTAAACATCAGTCAAAAACTTCAAATTGCTCGGGACAGTTGAACTGTCTGAAAGGACTATTTTACCAGGAGCTCTGAGCCACAGTTTTTATTTTTGGTCAGTTCATAAGACCTTGTAGTGGCGCGAGTCCAGATTGACTTTGGACAATACTACAGACTAATTACGTTCCCGTCACTAATCGTAATCCCTCCGTGAATCAAAGACAGAAATTAGGGTTTGACACAAAAGACGGTGTATTTTTATTGGCGATCTCGTGTTTTCGAAAGAAAGCAGAGATCGTGCGAAACTACAACGAGAAGAGTAACCAAAATGGAAGCACCACAAACGAAAAGTATTTGCATGGAGTGCATATAAGCAAGGAGTTCAGTGAAGAAATCACTGGCACAACTGGTTATAATAGTGAATGTTTCTGTTTAACCAGTCGCGTTGTATTCGTAAAAGTGGAGTCATTACAAGCTTACAACTTCAGCTTCGGCTTGTCAAATAGAGGCCACATGAAGAAATACATTTTTTGAATTGTACACAAATTTATCTATTAGCTTGATTTGAAAATGAAGCCACTCCCCTCTTAGGGCCTCTGTGCATTAGGTTCTTGCCTGCTCGTAGTGACAGTATGTACTGTCCTCACTAGTTTGTTCTTAATTGTCCTAGCACTAACTTGCGACTGTTTATGACTTGAGTTGCTAGTAACCTCTGAGGACATTTTGTGGAACAGACTGGGTTGTAGCATGCAAGATTAAGTGCAGTAAGAAATTCCAGTGGAGGTTCAATATGAGTTCACGTTGGCTTCCCATTTCACCTAGTTTAAAATATCCTTATCATTTTCGTTAATAGTGTGCTGAGCCGAATCTAGAGTCTCGTTTTGTCACAGATTACCTGGATGATATAAATCAGTATTGGGCCAGCTCATTTTGGACATGCTTAAGCGAGGAAATGAGTCCATTCTTGTCTGTGTTTCATGTTTTGTCGTTGAACTGCTTTGTGTTTTGTCCCTTAGCTATTTCGAGACAAATATGGATCCTGTTCCTATAAGATAAAGCGGAACCTGAGATTCATGTGTCATATAAATTCATTCAAGTGTCAGTGAGAACTAGGTTGTGTAAAATGACGAGATTATCCACCTTGCTTGCCATGTTCGGTGACAGTAAATTAACCACAGAACATTCTTGGGGTCTATGATAAACATATCGTCTTTACTACAGGTATGGTCTTAGAATATTAACTGCAAATGTTCAGTGAGAGGTATATTACGGTAAACCCTCATTCATAGGTGCCCACAGTTATTTAGTGTGAGTCCTTCGTCCAAGTTCAACAGTTACACTGTGTGGTTTTACACCTTCAGTCCGTACATAGTGTGTTATCTCGTTTCCGGATCATCCTCAATAGTCTGGCATCAGACTAGAATAAGCTTCTTTAAAACCCTTTCCTCTATAGAATGTTGATGAATCTGAAGTAATAATGATTTGAGCTGAGATTTCGTTGAATGGTAAGTCGTGGTTTTTCGGTAGTTGTTCACGAAATCCGTGTACCAGAACATGGGGGAAAAACTTCCAAGAGCAACGGAACTCTTGTTGCTAAATCAATCTTTGTAAACTATCTGATGATTTCATGTTGTGATTTTTGAGTCTTCGAATGAGTTTTTTTCATGTTGATAATGAGCGGCCACAATTGTTCTCCGTGATATTCAGTACTGTGACCATTGATTGGCAATAATATTGTTTTATCCACCTTCTCTATCCAATAACTGTTAAGTGCTTACTAGATCTTTTATGGTTGGTAAGGAGCATACTGAAGAGAGTATTATGCTGTTATTGTCATAAATATAATCGCGGAACACCTCCGTTGGTTATTTTCTACTGGTAAAGTGTACGCTATAACAGACTGAATTGGTCTGTTTCGGTTTCACTAGGTGTTATGAGAGTTACGGAAGTATTATTCGACTATCCATACACTGAATGCTTTTAATTCACTTGTTACAAACCTATGCAATGAGCTTGCATTTAACTTCTTCTAGAAGTAGACGTTTTAAAAAGTTTATCATCCTTAGCTGGGGTATTCCACTAAGAGCATTTCCATTTCCCATTTATATGTGAGTATACCCTACCCTTCTTTCTGGTAACACACCAGTGAAACAGTCAGTGTTTGATTATTTTGATAAATTTTTGTGGTATTATTCTAGGAGCATACGTACGATCTAGTGCTTATACAGAAATGTCCGTAGAAAGATTGAGTCAACAGCCAGTTCGAAATGCATTCTAGATGTGTTGAATAATTTTTTGGAGCAGACTGAAAGTTTGGATTGCTAAGCATAGCATGGATGAAGCCATTATACAGTGGCTTGATTTATCAGTCTCGTAGAACGTCAGGATAATTTATAAATGCAAAAATAAATAACTATCGGTAAATTCATCAGTCTTTGGCTCTTCAGCCCACCCAGTTTTCTTGGAAGAGAAAGAAATGAAAATATAAGTGAGCCTCAATACACTTACGCTCAAGTTGTAAGCAGAGTGTAGAAAACGTTGACATACATAGGTAAATATACCATTCAAAAGCAGAATTAGTAGTGTTTGATTTTTAGAAGTAAAATTTACCACATGAGTATATAAAAATGGATGCCATATTTTCGCAAGGGTTGTCTTTCCCTTGTTTAGTTGGCAGGTTCGTGACGGAGTTGCTTTGAAATTCATCTTTGACAGTTCTGTAGTAAGAGTCTTTATTCACCTTTCAAAAACTTTGTCTATTTTCATATTAATATGAATACAGTGATTCATTCTTTGACGAAAAATGAAAGGAATGCTTCGGAAAACATCAAATTGAGAGCCTCAAAATCGACTCTTATTTTCAGCTTACTGAGAACGCATAAATACAACAACACTGAACACTTATAATTACATAATCCCTGAAGTTAACTTGAGGTTTGGCTTCATCATTGTTTATATTAATTGTTATTTTACAAAAGGTCCCCTGATGTCTGGTTTTACCACCAACATTAAAGGGAGACAACTAGCAGTTGGAAGTCTGATATAATTGATGGAGCTAAATCGGAGCTAAATTTGTACAACATAGTATTACTTGCGTTTTAAAATCCGGTACCCTGAAGTGTTTATGAAAGTCTTTAGGAAGGTACAGAACATTTTATGGGAACAACATAGTACTCCACAGTTATTGACTAAAATCTCTACTTTGTTGAGTGTTAAAGTCATCAAATGCAATACTTTTAGCGCAAAAGTACTCATGTCAGGCGGTTTTCTTTCACTCACAATTTGAAACTTTTTATGCCCTACTATCTAATGATGTTATTGGCTATTGTATAGATTGCGTCCTTGGGCCACCCGCCTCCGTCTGTCCGCCAAATTAAATTTTCCGCCATGTCGAGCAGGACTGCCCTATTTGGAAGGACTCAACAATCCCAAACACGACATTTGCTGCAATTTAAGGCAGGCAAAATGACGATCGGGGATGATAACTGGGTTCATGCTGACCCTCGAAAGGGATGGGTGTATGTTTACCAGTCCGGAGATGGAAAGTTACACTTTTGCTGGATTGATCGCAAGACATTTCTTGTTGAAGATGTAAGTGCACTTTCATTCGCCCTGACTAATTAACCAGAACTTCGTCATTAATGCTAAACAAGCCGAGTTTAAAAAGATTCCACAGTGTACAACGGGTAGAGTTTACCTTCTAAAGTTCAAAGGCCCTAAACATTTTTTTATCTGGATGCAAGTAAGTTCTACTCTTCATCCTATTTTTGGAGGAGCCCAACGGAAAAAATGATAGTGACATTTGTACAAGAATAAATGACTACATTAGATCTCCACCTGCACAAACTACAGCATTGTCAAGTAAGTCTGCCTTAATTCAGTACATTCTCAGGTGATTGGCTCACTCGTTTCGAAAGTCTTAATCAACTTTCTCACAGCGACATTCTGGCCTTGTTGTGTAAGTTGAAATTTTTTTTTAGGATAATCCATCTTAGCAATGGGGGTAGGGCTTGGGAGTGGACTGTCTTCGGAATCTGATGTGTAAGTTTAACGACCCATTTTTGGTGTAGAAGTCTCTAAGTTTTGTGGAACGTATTCTGTTAAATTATCAAATTAGTCTGATGACATCTGGTCTCATTCTCCGAAGTTTTGAAACGAAGCTTGTCCAATCTCATGATAGTCTTAAATCGACCATACCTTTTTATCACATATCGGTTTCTTTGGAGAATGTTTTTTCATACATATTGTCTAGTCACAATGACTATGCTTTTCATATTTTTAATCCAGCAAAATCATAAGTAAATACTTCGTTCTGGTTTCTATTTATGGACCTTATTGGTTAGATTGTCTGATAAATTTCATAAATGTTCATTTAACCTCTAAAGCCACACTTCGGTTACCCACGATCCCCAGTCATCCTGAATGGCACGTTAATGTAAGTTCTCTGGCTCCTAATGAAGTTTAAAAAGCTATAGGAAATCTTAGGTGAGGGAGAGCAGCGAGTCCTGATCGGCTAAGTCCTGAGATTTTTGGTGGTCCAGTTTTAGCAGTTACATTTACTGCAATCTTAGGAATAATTCGGAAACTGGGCGTATTCCTATCTGACTATTCTCAATCACTGATGGACCCCAATTTACAAAAAGGTGCCAAAGTCATTTTGTGCCAATTAACGAGGAATCAGCTTTACTAATAGTGTCCAAAATATTAGGTTCAATAATGTTTCGACGAATAACTAGAGCTCATGAAGAGCAGACTAGAGAAAATCAGGGTGAGTTCAGATCTGGACGTGGATGAATGGACCAGATATTCACACGTCGACAGGTCCTTGAACACATTTATGCATCTCACAATAGTTGTATTCCTTGACATTAAGGCGACATACAACTCTGTTGATCATGAGGCTCTATGGCAGTGTCTGTCAGTGAAGGTGCATTGAGGAAGTCCATTGACGTTGTACAAACTGTACTCGAACACAATGTCCGAGTCAGGGCTTATGGAGAGCTGTCGTCAGGATTGTTTACTTCAAGTGGTGTTCGTCAGGGCTGTCCACTCTCTCCATTCTTGTTTAACTTTGTCATTGGAATGCTTTTAGATACGACACTTAAATCATTTGACTTTTCAGGAGTTGAACTTTCAGCAGGAGATACGCTTGTCGGCTTAGAATATGCCGACATAGTTCTACTTGGTGGAGACGCTGACAAAATGCTGAGTCTTCTGACTACCCTAAGCAACAATGCAGGCATGTTCAGGGTGCGATTCTCCCCCCGGAAATGCAAAATGTTTTAAGATTAGGTTGCATCGGCACTGAAGTAGTGATAAGGTGGGAAGTAGTTGATCGTGTTGACTGCCTCACTTATCTTGGGAGTTTGATCAATGCTGATGGCCTGGGAACTGACGAAATCTCAGCACGGGTACGGAAGGCTCGATTCAGAGTAGAAGATATTCGAAGGTTGCTTGTTTTCGATAGTGCAGTTGTATCCACTTCTCTGAAATTCTGCTTCGAGCTCTCATTTCTCTGATTACTGCTAATACTTCTACTACTATGGGATTTGAGCTGACGCTTGCATGTCTGTGTTAATGTGGTATGGCAAGTTGGACTGATTTTCGTCCTTGTGAAGTTCTACATTGTGACTGATTCGATATTTCGTACTGTTTTTGTTTCTTCTACTCAATTAAACTATGTATGTTTATATATTTTTTGTAGATCATCTGCTCAGGCAACTGCTGTGACAATCGGGCGTCATTTAAATACTGGGCATCTAGATGATTCAAGTGCATCTGCATCTATCGTTGGGACCACTGGTGCCACTGCATCTTCGGGAACTGCACCTACCACCGGTAGCACTCCTCGTCCGTCTGTAAGTTACGTAAAATTATTATTTGAAAATTCTTCCATGCCCAAAGTACAAAATATTTAATATGTAAATTTCGCACCTATATTTTGTGTTACGAAGTGAAGGCTAATTAGTCTGATTGAGCTGTGGTTTAGTATTTTAAGTGCTCAAATTTAAGAATCATGTACACAGCCTGGGCCCTTACGTCCTAATCGAATAATAATATTTTCCTGTATCATACTTTAGGTTACATTTTTAATCGAGTCACTGACTAATACAGATCTTAGTAAGTTATTCACCTCAGTAACGCTAGTAGCAGTCATTATTATATTGTCTGGTTGTTATTCCCTGTACATTCTTGTAGTTATTATTTTCTTCTACGGTCGTAATATTGAGCACCTTGAACTAATGCTATTTCTCGTAGGATTTTTGTCGCCTTCGTGTTTAAATGTTCTTAAGTCGTCATCTAGTAGGCTTAACCATCAATTGCTATTGTTGTTTAGATCCTAACTTGGGAGTTAGTTCGTGCAAACACATCTCAGAGCAGCAGTCAATTAATGATTGGATCCATACCATACATTAATGTGCTCTCCGCTGGTTTTTTGCCAAACTACTTTTATCAGCGAGTTTTGCGGAGTATAGACAACACCTAGGGTTTCGTTCCGAAACCTATTAGTCAGTTACAACGTAGAACTTCGTATGTACGTACGGTAGATGTGACCAGTTTGTGTTGTGACTGCAACACATTTAATTAAATTAGTTAACACGTTTCGATGTATCAGACTGGAAAACAACATTTTAATTATACGGTAACAGTTCTATGTAGTGGAGACAGTCAGTCAGTCAGATGCAACGTAGAACTTTGTACATAAGTACATCAGTTCATGTTGCCATACCACATCAGCACAGAGAAGTAATCGTCAATTCAAATCCAATAGTAGAAGAGGTAGTAAGGGAATTAGAAATAATCGGAGAGGTTAGGATTAGAAGATATTATTCAAGAAGTATGATTCAGTGAGATAAGTTTAGAGAGTCGAAACTAGAGGTGTTGAAGAATCCAAAAGATTAGCATTTGAGAGAACAGAGAATAAATGCACCGGCGCCATTGCGAACGATTTTGAGCCATGTCATTCAAGGTCTCTAACCATCAATTATTATCATCTCGCGGACCCCAACCAGGTAGTCGACAATTACCAACATGGCTCAGTCCACTAGTCAATGACTTCATGCATTTCTGCCATGTTTTGGTTTGGCCGCCTCTAACTTTCTTCCAACCTATTCCTACACTACAAAACAAGGCTCGACGAGGCAGCCGGTGGTTGGGCATACGCAACACATGTCCCAACCACCTCAACTGGTGAAGTTTCAATACTTCGTCGATTGATCTGCCATTCTTACCTAGCACCCGATTCCTAATAACAGCGGTGCTCACTCGGGTGTCCCACGATGTACGAGCAATGCTTCGAAGACACCTATGATCGAAAACCATTAACCTACGAATATCTTCTACTCTCACTGGCCATGTTTCACAGCCATAAAGTAAGACGGAGCGAACTACTGCGCAGTACACTCGTCCTTTAGTCAGCAAACGGATATCTCGCCTACGCCATAAGTGACGCAGGTTGGCAAAAGCCAATCGAGCCTTCTGTATCCGTGCTGAGATTTCGTCAGTCACCAGGCCATCGGCACTGATGAGACTCCCAAGATAAGTGAAGCGGTCTACACGTTCGACTACTTCACTCCCTATCATTAGTTCAAGTGCCGATGCAACCCAGTCTTGAAGCAACATTTTGCATTTCGAGGGGGAAAATCGCAACCCGAACATGCTTGCATTGTTGCTTAGCGTAGTCAGAAGACTCTGCATTTTGTCAGCGTCTTCACCAAGTAGGACAATGTCATCGGCATATTCTAAGTGGAGACACTGACACAAATTATTCTTCGGGCCACCTTGAGCAACAATGCAAGCACGTGTATGATGCGATTCTTCCCCTCGAAATGCAAGATGTTGCTTCAGGATTGGCTTGCGTCGGTAACTGAACTAGTTATAGGTAGAGAAGTAGTTGAGCAGGTCGACCGCTTCACTTATCTTGGGAGTCTGATCAGTGCTAATGGCCTGGTGACTGACAAAATATCTGCACGGATACACAAGGCTCGATTGGCTTTTGCCAATTTGCGTCACTTATGGCATAGGCGAGATATCCGTCTGTCAACGAAAGGACGAGTGTACTGCGTAGCAGTTCGCTCCGTCCCACCATATGGGTGCTAAATTTGACCAGTAAGAGTAGAGTTTATTCAAATGTTACTTACTAGTTTTCGACTATATGTGTCTTCGAAGCATTGCTATATATCTTTGGACCTTCGAGTAGGCAATTCTCTGTTCGGGAAAAAGGTACTAGGTAAGGATGGTAAGTCAATTGACAAAGTACTGAATCTTCAGTTGTTGAGGTAGTTGGGACATGTGTTACGTAAGCCCAACGAACGACTGCCCTGACGAGTGTTATGTGATGCGCGAGTAGGCTGGAAGAAAAATAGAAGCGGACAAACCAAAACATAGCAAATCAATGTAGCCATTAACAAGTGGACTGAGTCATGTTGGTAGATGTAGGCCACCTGGTTGGGATCCGAGAAACGAAAGTCGCCGATGGTCAGAGACCTTGAATGACATGGCTCAAAATCGTTTGCAGTGGCACAGGTGCATCCAGTCTTTATGTTCCCCCAAATCCTAATCTTCTGGATTCGTCGACACCTCTACCTTTGTCTTTCAAAACTTGTCTCACTGAATTTTACTTCTTGAATAATATCTTCAAATCCTAATCTTCTCCATCACCAGTAATACTTCTACTATCTCTATCAATATGAGATTTGAACTGACAATTCGATCTCTGTGCTAATGTGGTGTGGCAACTTGGACTGATGTATGTACATAGGAAATTCTCTGTTGTAGCTTACTGAGCTGTACGAAAAAGACACCTAAATGGCTACTGGGCTTCTGTTAATAAAAGTATTAAGTGATATACGTCATCTCGGAAAGTATTGCTAAAACAGTGCAACAACAGAGAGAAGGAATAATGTAATGCGGTTTATAGGTAAATAGTCTCAATACTAGTTTAGCGGTCATGAGTATTTTGGCTTTTTTAAGGGATTTCGAGTTAACGATGTCATCGTTTTTAGTAGTTACTGCTTATGTCACTTTTTAATCAAATCAAATGTTTCCTCCATGTTTTTCTTCCTTAAAGACAATCGACAAACGACCGGAAGGTGGAAAAATACAACTTCAGGACTTGCGAAATATCCTTTCATCTATTTCTACTGGAATACGAAATTCGTGTATGTACTGGTTTAATTTTGTAAATGAAAATCTTTATATACCAAACTTTTATACAACAAAAAATGTTTACCTTAAGACTGAATGAAAGAAAATGTTACATACAGAATGCTGTTAGACAGTTCACTCATACTTTCAACAAAAGTAGATTTCGGACTCGTATATGTGCTGTTTGTGTTACCCAAGACTTACTGACTTTAGTCCTTTAATAAATCACCTTTAACGCCATAAGGCATGTTATAAAACTGAATGATGAAATCAGTCAATCAGATTATTTCATTACACGCGTTGACTGCACGCCGGCTAATAAAATTTCTAAGCTGGAAATTATAGTGGACTCTGCACAAATAATGTAGGTGCACGCAACCTGGTCGATGTTTTCACAATTATCATGATCAATCGTTAGAAATGCAAAATATCATCGCTCAAAATCTGTCTCGATCGCTCAGGTGTATTTATGTTTTATATCCTCTTGAATTTGTGTTTTTAAATTGTATTATACTTTTCATTTCACGGATTCATTCCCCGTTGGACCATACTTTCTACTCGTAACGTTTTCTGCCATCACTGATACTGTTACCACTACTAAGGGATTTGTCTTGATATTTTTATTTGGTTATGTTTGATGTACACATAACAGGATCCTCCGTTGCTTATGACTGACTTATCTTGATCAAAATAATGCAATACTTATAGATTTATGATTGTAGAGCCTAATGAAAGAAGTTATTAAAAGCAATTTTTACCTAAATACTCGTTTTCACATATGGTGTGTGGATTTGTAAACTGGCAAACCATACCAGTTACTAATGTGGTTAGTATTCTCAAGTGTGAAATAATGTATATTACCTTGTATTTAAATCTACTATTTTTAATTAGCTGAAAACCTCGAAAAGTTGTTCTCTTGTCCAAGTTACCATCTTGCATCTGCTCAGAAAGATACAATTAATAGGAGGGATAGCAAAGTTGACATAAGTTTAATTAATGGTAAAAATGACTAAGTATTGATGACTACGGCTCAAAAAGAGTATGCATGGAAAAAAGAAGACTAAATGCTTTTTTTTGCGTCCTGGTTTTCAACCCACTTTCCCCTTTTCTTATCGTTGATCTTGGTTATCGTCCAGACCACTGTCATGTGGCTTGACCGTATCAATAAGACTCAATCCGCCAGTCAATAATATTATAAACTGATGCCACATTTTGCTATGATCACTCCTTGATTTCATCCAGCCTGCCATTGCGCGCGTTATAAACACAAGCTTTTACAACCAGAAAAGCACTAGGACGACGTCAAATATTGTCTACATTGGCATAATTCCTAAGCTTCACTATGCATAAAGTAATCTCACTTGGCATGCTACCACTAGCATTCATAAAACTACTCAAATACACTAACTTTCTATCTGTTGGCTCACCATAGAGGATGAGTGTAGGCATAGACTCCTGTTAGTCTTTTAAAAGTACATTGTATTTATAAGGCTCAAAATACCCGTTGTATTTAAACTAGCTCCTAACTAATTAAATACTATTTGGACGATATCTATATCATTTCACAATGAGATTAAAAGGTCTTTCTGTAGGGGACAAATCCACACCACTACACACTTCTCTCAGAGTTGGTTTTGTAATTTTGCCGATAGCAATATGGAGGAAAAATGGAGAGCTTAAGTAACCCTGCTTAACCGCGCTGTGGACTGGAACAATAAAGAAATGTAGTCGAACATCCTTTTCTCAAGGTGTTTAGGTATAAACTCAGGTTTATCCTTCGGTAGGTAATCCCGAAGTACAACGATCATTGACTTGTAATAAGTGTGGCGGATGAATATGTGATCAATATACCCGTAGTGCAGTCGAAAACCATCATTCGTAAGTGTTTTACACTATCTGCGTTCTATAGCGGTCACTAGTTATTGAAAAAGAATGAAGAGCATAATGATGCCCCAATAACTTGCATAAATTTTGAAGGTTCCTGTTAGAAATAAAAATGATCTTTTCGTGGAAGGATGATCAGATGCCCTCTGTTTGCAACATAGTTTCAGTCTGTCTGTTAAGTTTCCTGGCCATTGTTTCGTCACCATAGTTGAAAAGGGCCGCAGGTAGATCGTTTTAGCCAAGTGACTTGACATGCTTCAGAAGTCGGAGTTCCTTACGGATCTCAGCTACATTGAGCAATACTCCCTAACTTTATAATCTCTGAATAAGAGTGAGAAAAGAAAAAAAATTAGGAATGGATAGATACATTAAAACAATACAAATAAAACTAATTTTCTATAATACGCTATTAGTGAACTTCACATATATTAAAACACTGGGAGACTAATTTTTCGAATGAATATCTCTCATTGTAGTCTAATTCAATTTGATTTCAAGATGTATCTTGATAACTAGTAACTCTAATTTTTGAAATTTTTAAGTGTATTAAATTATTAGTGCTCATAGAATCGATTCACACACGATTGTTTTAATTAGTTTTCTAACTATTGTTTTGAATAACTTGCAAAGTTAAGTTGTTTAATCTTTGGTAATATTTTTATTCTTTATAGCAAATAATACAAAGGTAGAATTAAACGATGTCTTAAACGTAGATAACTTACATTCCCTTTTGAATAAACCGGAAATTCAAGAAAGATTGTTACCTCACCTTCCTCCTCTTGATCCCGAATCCACGAGTACAAATGACTTGGAAAATCTTACTACTAATATTCAGTCATCTCAATTCAAAACTACTTTGAAAGTAAGAATTAAACGTAGTTTATGAACGATAATATTTTTGTCCGTTTGCAATTCAGCTGGCCAAACATTGTTTTCATAGTTTCATACATCTCGTAATTCGAATTTAATTGACTTATGATTATATCTCATGCACTTTTCTCTCTAAAATGGGTTAGTTTTCTCACGAATTGTCTGATATACTATATATACTCGCTACCAAATGTATTAGTTTAGCACCATTGTGTAGATTAATCTGATTGAAGTATTAAATAGTCAGATATCGCCAGCCCTAACATCATAAAGTTTAGCTCAAAACTAAGTACATTGACCTTTATATCCCCTTAAACTTTAAGCCTTATTATTATTCCTTCGTTTTTGTTCTACAATCTAGTTCTCTTTCAAACTTTAGTTCCATGTTCTTTTTCGATTCATTTAAACTCCTTAACGCCTCATGTTATTAACTACTTGTTATATATTTGTCTAAGTCCTACTGAAAATCAAAATAGCCCCTCTTACTTGGTTAGACCAAAGTTTATTGTAGTCTTCTAGATTTCGGCAAACTCTTAATATTTAGTATATTTGACCCTGGTTCGGGCAGTTGATCCAAATATTTAATAAAACATGTCTTGAATATCCACTGTTTGAGCCTAGTCAGTAATTTGGTTTCTCTATAAGGTACCTTCCATAGATTATTAACTCAGTATGAAGGCACTTGGATTCGTTATCTTGACCTTTATCTAATCTAAGCTTCATAGCTACACTGATTTTAGATATCACTGGAAAAGTTCATGACATTTTACAACTATTTACCTAATACACAAAATCTTTTATTTTGGTTCATTTCACATAGCATAAACCATCTTGAGGCTAGAATTAAATTGTTTGCACCTAGAAACTAGGTACTGCTTAATTTACAATAAATCCAATTGTTTTTTAATAGCATCTATCAATGTGCAGTCTTTTTAACTTTTCAATCTCTATTTACTTGTTTTGTTACTTAAAACTAGCTTCCCCACTCTGTTCATCTTTTGTAGTCCTTCTCAGCTGCTTTTCAAACAGGTGAACTGGCTCCTGTTTTGGCTCAATTCAATCTGGGTATAAAAGCTGATGAAGCTGCAAGACAAGGTGGTAAGTTAGTTAGATGATTTTTCTTGCTTAAACAAGTAGTCTACATGAATCTAATTTTCCTTTATGTAAACATAGTTACTTCCTATCGTCGTTGTGTAGATAAGCTACCCTGTTTACTTTTGTCTATCTCTGTATAATGCATTATGTATGTAAGGTATAATTCCAGTTCAGCAGACCGTACCAATCTCTTGGGATGGTATGTTCTGTAAGTAAAAGTTGGATCACTAACACTTAATTTTAATTCCCATTTCAGACCTGGTGGCGTTTTCAAATGCACTGCAAGAAAAAACGATTGACGCAACCGCTCAACCCCCAAATGAAAATTGTTCAAGTGTCACTCAAAGTGGAACTTCTCAGGAATCGTTAAAAGCAAAATCAGACAATGAAAAGGAGAAGAAAGCCACTACAGATACTCAAATTGACAAAAAGGATGAATCTTTTGACGACAATAAAATGGACACGGATTGACCGATGTCAAAACTGTATTAACTAAAACTTTATTATATATACTCATTAAATTATGTTAAACTGACTGCCTGTGGTTGATTAAAAATGAACATACACCTAGTAAGAATATTTTGGTATGCTTACGCCGACAAACAAGAACCCATTTAGCCTTATCACTGTCAGATTAGTTGTCTGATGTTTGTTACTACGTATGTATTCAGAGCATCCATATATTCCGTTTTTTCTACATTATTTACAAAACTAGTTTTTGAATAAAAATAAAATTGAAGGCCAATGTCTGTGACTTTTTTGGTTTTTTACTACTACTACTACTGCTAATAATAATAATAATAATAATAATAATAATAATAGGAAGAAGAAGAAGAATAGTGATAACAATAATAACATTGGAACTCAAGAGTGTTCTGTTTCAAAAGCCCAAGGATGGTAAACCGATAGATGAAGTATTGAAACTTCGTCAGTTGAGGTGCTTGGGACATGTATTGCATATGCCCAACCACCGACTGCCTCGATGAGCTCTGTTTTGTGGGGTAGGAGTAGGTTGGAGGGAAGCTAGGGCGGCCAGACCGAACATGGCACAAATCCATGAAGTCACTGACAACCGGCCTGAGTCATGTTGTTAAGATGTATACTACCTGGTTGAGTTCCACGAGACGATAGTTAGAGATGTTGAATGACATGGCTCAAAACCGCTTGCAATGGTGCAGTTGAATCCACTTCTCTGAAATGCTGCTTCGAGCTCTCATTTCTCCGATTAATGCTAATACTTCTACTATTATGGGATTTGAACTGACGCTCGCATCTGTGTTAATGTGGTATGGCAAGTTGGACTGATTTTCGTACGCGCGAAGTTCTTCCTTCAAACTGACTGGCTGACAGTCTAAATGATGTCATAATTATCCTTCGCATTTATTGGGAGTGTAAGTTAGTGGGATGGATCAACTCCAGCCGTCCTGTGACAAACATGTGCCATTAGATTACATAATGAGTAATTTCAATGTACGTACTTCGCTTTCAATATCTGCTGATGATCTTCGGACAAACAATAAACGCTTCACAACCAATCCATTTAGCTCAGCAGTTCAGTCAGTCAGATGCAACGTAGAACTTCGTACGTAAGTACATCAGTTCATGTTGTCATAAGAGGCTTCCTTATGGTGTCTTCCCTACGTCAAGTAAGCCTCAAACAGATACGTGCTCGCACTAGGGCATGATCTGAATCTAAACATGTGCCCCAGAACGAGCGACAGTACTCTATCGAACCACTCCATCGGTGGCTGATAGCGATATGATCTAATTGCGTCCAACGTTGAGACGACCCTGGGAGTCGCCAGAACAAAAGATGTTTTTCCTTATGCTTAAAATTAGTGTTTGCTAGGAATAGGCAGTTATCTGAGCACAGTTGCAACAGACGGTCGCATTGTCTGTTCTCTGAGTCGCGACACCATAACATCCACCATGGTGTCTTTCCTGCTCACTTAGTCTACCCACTTGAGTATTAAAGTCACCAGCCATTATAACTACATCAGAGAGCTTAACTTATTGGAGGAGGTCCGAAAGCTTCCTGTAAAACTCATCTTTTACATCGTCTGGACTGCAGTCAGTGGGGGCGTAGGCTGATATGCCGAAGAGGCAACGACGAGTGTCCCTATCCTTTCGAATCCTTACTGTCCCGTTTAGTCGGACGGCGCACAAGCGATTATCTACAGGGATCCAGTCTAAGAGAGATAGTCCTGCCCTACGACACAATGCTATGCCTAGGCCAGCAAGACCCCTGGAAGCGGCATTAGGGCTACCGGAGACACGAAGAGTAAATCGAGTTGCTTCTTTATCTTGACATGGTGAGGTCAAGTGAATGATGCTACCCAGATCCTGTATGCGCGTTTCCGAGACGCAGCACGCATTGTTGACGCGAGATTCTAAAGTCCTAGCTAATGATGCCTGTTGCCCTATTTGACACAATGTCCGTACATTAAAGGCTGCAACATTTAGTCTAGAGAGGCGTTTCAAGAGACCAGAACTCGCTTCGTTTGCATTAGCGGTGCAGTGAGATAAGGGACTGTGAGTAGAGTTCGTTGTGGAGAGAAGAGAGGTGTGTGTGGGTGTAGGAAGGATTTGATTTCGACCAATTTGGTCTCGTGTGCTGTTACGGGTATGAGGGCGGTTGTCACTTCCCGACTGCCAACACCGTGGAAGGTTGTTTCTTGAGGGACCTGAAAAGGAAAATAAATTAGTATTGGTCTTAGAGACCTGGGAGAGTGACCCCAGAGTCCAAGGGACTACTGCTTGAGGCAGGCCCTTTTATGAAAGGTTTTTTGAGTATAAGCTCCGCTCTTGAAAGCACTTAGTGGGCACCTTTACCTCCGGAGACCAAAATCCGTGAGGTAGGATGAGGTGTGACATTTTTAGGGTCGACATTTTCTAACCCCTCCTTCCTTGTGAGAAGGCAGCATTGCTGCAGATGCTGGTTGTCCGAGGGAAACACCTTACTGCTGTCACACCCCTCTACAGTCAGCAGTACGACTTCGCCCTTAGACGTTGAGTAGCTGCTTTTAGTCTCATCGTTCTCCAGTCGACCTGCCTGGCATGGTAGCCTTCAGGAACATGTGTTCCAGCCAATATAGCTCGGTTGGGTGATGACGATAGGCAAGCCCGACCACCACGTCAAGGTAGCAGATACGGTCGGTAGCTCAGCAGTTACACCAGCAATATCCTCATGCTGAGCTACAAATATTCTCTACATGAAAATTTAGTTGTACATATAGCATTTTTTTGAAGTCGGAATATAACCAGTAAAATTTGTCTTAAGTTATGCTAATATTCAAAGCAACTGAAAAAACAACTCTGTGCTCTGGATTACTTCACTAAAGCTTATATGAAAATGATATTAATCAATTAGACCTCTAGAAATAGGATTTATGAAATGTAACTCGTGATGAACTTGAAATTAACAGGTATATGCCTATAGGTTTCACAACTGTACATATGTTTATAAAGTATTAAGATTCAAAAAGCTTGAAACTACTCATTGTGAATTACTTCTCAACATTATGGTACTATATGTCCCGGTTTTCGTTTGTTTTTTATTGTTAGTTACGAAATTTTGCAACATCCATTGTTTTATTTAGGGTAAATTATATCTCATAAAACTTCAAGAAAACGGCCATAAGTGTCAAACCAATCTGAAAATATCTTTTAAACCATCCAAATAGTTATTTGTCATTTTATTGAATACCTTTTCTTGAATATACATTTTGTGTTATAAGTTAGCCTGTATAAACTAGATAACAGTAGTCAAAACTGATTTTTGTAATTTACATATATTCCATTGTTGTTTTTCTCATAATGTCCTTTTAATCTTTGTTATTGTGAACTGTGAAGTAACTTAAACCACTCGACATTTCTCCTAGTTTCTACCTTTTCGTGATATCGGTAAAATATTAAACCACGAAGGAATAAAATAGTCACCTGCGAATTTTTTTCTCTACCATTTACTTTATTACAAAAATGAAAGCCTATTATTAATATTTAATTTTGTCAACGAAAACAATCGCATGAAAGCGGTCGTGTTTGTCGTCAGCTGATGCGTATAATTGCTTGTTTAATTGTTATGTAGGACTGATCTACTTGTCTGATATTTAAGAATTTTAATCATGGATTTCTTAAACTCTCTTATTTGTTACACTGTCTTCTCTGAAATTCTATTGTTTTAAATCCCTCATGGCCATGTTTCTCTTTTTAAGTTTATCTCATTGGATTATACTTCCTTAATTTCTTCGAACCCTAATCTCCATTACTGCTAATACTTCTACTACTATGGGATTTAAACTGACAATTCCATCTCTCTGTGGCAACTTGAACTGATGTACGTATGTACGTACGAAGTTCTACGTTGTAGCTGACTTACTGACTCTATTAACAATGTTGTCCACAAGTGTATTTCGCAAAGTTAGTTAACCACTAAGCTCTGCGGTTAATTTGCCGCAAAAATTAAAACGTTTAGATTTAAAATTTAGAAAACAACTTAAAAAACCCACTTGGTTTATCACACTACCTATTATGTCACAAGGTATTGTGTTATTGTTGGGTCGCTTCAACTTATTCCAAGATGATAGTCTGTATAGTACTTTCCATCTAGATCCCTATTAACTTATTATTATCAATTCTCAATTTTCATTTAAACTATATTCTCCAAGTCATTTGAAAAAATCTCTAATTTTAGGCAGTTGTAAACTATTTTCATTCGGTCTACCGAGTAATATATTTAAAGATTTTTGACATAGCACTTCTTCATTTAGTGTGCTTCATGAATATAATTCCTGTTTAGTTTGATTGATTCTATCCTCTTTGGTGGTTGAGAGAAATAAAGGGTGTTAAGAACTTGCAACTTGTGTGTGAAGAACAATTGACCAGTCATTTTTTCCCCTGTTTATTACATAATTGATTTCGTGATATTTACTATGCTGATTATGTCCCCCCTATAGACTGAGATCACTGACAATTTCTGAAAGATATTCCAATCACTTATGAAAAGTTGACATTTTTTTAATGCTATAGCTAAACTAAACAAAGTTATGTTACTTTCTGAATTTTCTTGTAAAAATAAAACTCAAAACAAACGAGACATGCAATTTAAACGACATGAAAATTGGAATGTATTCGTTGTATATTGATAGGAGAGAGTTAATACAAAAAGCAACATTATTAATTATTGTCTATCAGAGATACTATTGATATGATGTAAAGATACATTTAGTAAATGGTTATGCTATTTCACTACGAATTGTTCGTTTTATTCTACTTAATAAATATACAATGTACTCGTTGTTTTGGTAAGTTAAGTTTTTGCTCTAACTGATAGTTAAAAATATGCATAGATAGTGTGTATGTCTAAATACCGTTAATAAGCTGTTCCTTTATGGATAAGTAATTTTTTTTTGAACACAGCCTAGCTGTGATTCTATAAATTTTTTCCATTGAAAACTTATTCATCCTAACTGTAGACTATTGGGAACACATATTATTCACTAGTGAATTGTATGAGACTGTGACGATGATATTGTCACAGTTCAATGTTTAGACCATTATTATTATTATTATTATTATTATTATTATTATTCTGATCAGTTTATAACTTGAACTGCCTATCAGTGTAATATTGGCCAATTATTCATTGTATTGCTAGGATGAAAAATAAGTTCACAAATACTACAAGCATTGCACAATAGTTTGAAGTGTTTTTTTTATTAATTTTAAAAATAAATTCAACAAAAATTCCCATTTATGATTGGATAAATAATTGTAGCTGATACTAGAACATGTCAAACATTTAATTATCAATAATTTTTGTCCATGAACTAGTCGAATTGAAGAAATATTGAATTTACATAACTTTAAAAACTAGAGCAACTTACACGGAGCCATTTTCACGAGATTATAGTATCAAGATATAAAAAAGGGAAGAAGAATATTTAAACTGATGAGCAAAAGAACCATACATCCATCACTCAGTAAGGAGGACTGTGAAAAAAATTTGGGATATTTTTTGTTCGATCTATGATCTACTTACGATACTTCAGTTCGATTATAGCTGAAGTATGATGATGATAATTTCAGTTTTCTTGCTGCCTCATTAACAGAAAATCTAAATCTTGTTATATAGATATATTGTTCTTGTAGTCAAGGCCAGATAGTAAGAATTTTTTGACTATTAATTTACTAAATTTATTAGGTCATTCATACATATTGGAACATTGAATAGTTTTGGAAGATTCGTAAGCATAACAATTTAATGTACAGTAAATCTTCATCGTTATTCAAAACTATATCAGGGTGTTTTTTTTACCTCTATTTTACATATTTGAAACTATTCATCTGAAATTCATTGTCTGCATCTTACGCACAGTGATTAATGGCAGATTCAACGAGTAGTTGAAAATGCTTTTGTTATTGCGATTCTAGAATCCTAATCTTCTCATTTCGGTGAAGTTTCGTTACAGCTAGCCTAATGCTAATACATTTGAAATGAGAGCTACATGTAACACTACTGTGTTTCTACACTTCTGATGACAAGAAGAATGATGGAAAGATAATCGTTGATTTTTGTACTTGATTGTTTGAAGATGTTAAGCAGAAAAAAAGTCTGTAAAATTGTTTGATGTACTTTTTTCACCAGTTTCATAGTCAAGAACTTTAATTAATTTTGACATGCAGAAATGTAAACTAGTTTCTTTTTTAGTGATAAACTATATGCTAGTGTAAAACATTGTTCATCTAAACACAGAGAGTATCAAATTATCCCGATTTAACAAATCCTTTTAACTACAATTGAAGAGACAATAAAACTATGATCAAAATGATGGATACCTCAGAAGACATTATAACTTAAACACCATATTCCAATTCACTAAAGCAATATAATTGTATTTATATTTTACTTTGAAATTCCCTAAACTGTAGTTCATAATTTTCACTTCCTTTATCATCGATTCGTAACTTTGATAGTTTGATTTCATACAGATCTGTGTATCTTTGTGGTCTATATTAAATCTTAGTTTCTGTACAAGTAAGCCAATCTCAAATTTTCTAATTTTCAAATATATTTGATTTCTTTTTCTCAGCCAGTTATAATTATGTAAAATCTACAGTCTTTATTGAGTCAGTAAAAGTGTATTTTATCCTATTATTTCCTTGTTTCTAGTCTAGCGGGAATGGAATATTGTGATTCGTTTCAGATGTATAACCACCTTCCTAAATTCTGACTACTTATCTACTTTCAAAAATTAAGACTATCAACAAAATGTCATGTATTGATAAATCAGAAATATTTTAGATCACCAGACATTGTGTCAGAAATTAGTCTCTTTTTGAAAGTGTTCATTTGACTACTTGTGAAAGAACACTTTATTGTCACTAAGACAAACGTAACAGAACTCTCTAGATTTATAGACATTCTACTGAGACAGCTGATTTTATGTGTATTTGATTACATAACTATAACTCGCCTAAGGTTGCAGATAGCGGTTCCTGCTGGTGACAACGTAGATTTAGGTGTATTGGCTTATAATGATCCCACTCACTTATGCAAGCCATTATGAGGGTAAAGAATGATATCAAATTTTCCTGGTACTCTTGATGTAGATTGATAAAAGGGATTGAGTTGACTAAAGCATGCTTGAGCAACCTTTGCATTTGCTGTTTATATGATGTCTTGTAAGTTCTGCAACCAGTAATATGATTTCTCTCCATTGAGTAAGAGGCATCTCCATTCGCTAGTCCTTACGCCTATGAACCAAAGTCACACAGTTCACACAAATAACAGTGAGCATTAACAAAGAAAAATATTGAAAAGGCGCTTGTTAATAAAGTGGAACATTTAAAGGAGGAATAACATTTGCAACTTTTCAATATTTGTCTACACTAATACCCACTTCCAACGCCACTCAAAATCATTTAAATAGCGAATAAAATCCAGTAGTTTGTGAGACAAATTTTGGACCATTTGATAAATATCGATTCATTAAATTTCATGTGATTTTTTGTCAGCAAATTAAAACAAACAACCGTCATTCAAACAGTGACCATGCTTTCCTTTGTACTATATAATTAAGAGTACTTATGAATCACTGCTTATGGTTTTTCATACATCCCTCTGAAACAGTTACAAAAACCGTATAAAAGATTGTTCAAATACCTATACACATATGAAAATAGATTTTCCTCTGAAAGCTCATTCCATCTTTCCTCTAAATCATCAGCATCTACCATCATGACTCATCTTCAAGACTATAAAACTTTTGAACAGCAATCATTTTTTTAAAGAATATTTTATAATAGATTAATATATTAGATACTGAATTCAATTTTACATGTTATTTCTAAAGACTGTTATGCATGCATAACTCGTACAACAAAGTACAATGAAATCATTAGGAAATTTAGTAGACTTCTGATTACGCAGAAATTTACAGAAAACGATGATTATTTAATTTTATGAGCATATTCAGCAACACTAGTTTTCAAAAATAAAAAGATGATTTTCAAAGTAAATGGTGTTGCATGGCATCTTAGCATTGTAAAGATCAAATTTTCTTTATCAGTTACTAATCGTCTCTATGAAGTTTGATAAAATTATACAGCAAAACAAATGGATATACTCATTTGTTTGTTTACAGTAGCATCCCTTGCAATGGATAATGAGATCTATGGATGTTATATGTTAAGTAGTCATCACAATTGCCATTACTACTATCTATCGACGAGAAGTCTGTAAGATACGCTCCAGTGTCTAGTAGGTGAAATTATTAACTGTTGTACAGCAATTTCAACATTAACACTTGAACATTGTATACTACACACACTTTTGAAATGCCTTTTTTTTACCAAGGATTGAGAAAAATACAGAAAACATTTAGACAAATAAAAATTCAACTTATTTGTAACTACTACCACATTTACAGCTGTATGAAATAAAAGTGTTTGGGAAATTAATCACAATTTGGATAAAAGTATTATTTCATTTCTAAACGTTTTCGTTACAGTTAACCAAACTTGTAGTATGATACATTGTGGACTTCTCATTACTCACTAAATCATTAACCACCATTGTTTTCCTTTCAAAGGTTGAATGTAGTAAATTTGAAGTTACAGATTTTTCTTGATATTGAAAATTTATAGAATCTGCAATTGTATTCGAATAATTAATTGAAATGCTGGTGAGATTATCACTATTATTGTTACCAATGTTAGTATTCCTAAGCTCATAATCGTCTTCATTGGTAGTCTGATTACGACTATTGTCTAATTTAATAAAATCGGTTACTACTACAGCATTCGTGGAATCACAATTTGTTTTTGAAGTATTCGACCAGATTAATAATGAATTTATACAATTTTCGTCAGTTTTTTTATTCAATGTCGTTAACTGATTGTTTGTAATCTCAGTGTTTTCGAATTGGTTACCATACTGGCTATAATGAATATCACCAACTGGACTGTTGAATTTATGTGTGTTCAGTCGATGATGTTGAGACAGTGAGGCCGATGGAGGTGAAGGAAATTGAGGAGTACATACTGTAGAATGCTGTGGATGAACTTCATTTAATAATTGAGAATAAAATAATGAATCCGATTTGTTTACAGTCAAACTTTGATTTCTCATTCTTTGCTCGTCATAATCCAAATTTGGCAAAGTTGCAAATCTAGGCGGAATAGAATGGTGACTTTCAACCTGTGTTCCTTGACAAGGAGTGTGATGATGTCGGACCTTAAATGGAGATTGGTTAGAAAGCTATACGGAAGAAAAATCGATATCAAATGAAGGGTTAATAAACATCGGGAATGGCATAAACATTATTTTATCTGAGAACGTTTTGTACAGTTATGTTTTCGCCATCAGATCCTCATTATTAAACAATGTGCAACTACATCAGCTAAAAAGGGATAATTAATCTCCTGAAATATTATAAAATCTATCATTTAAGAAAATCCATTTACTTGTGAATTTTAATAAAAACTGAACTCATCTCGAAATTACAAGTAGCAAAGAAATTCCTGAATTAAAAAGTTAAAAAATTATAATTCTTTCATGCTATTGTTAGTCCATTTCTTAGTCTTGTTCGAACATGACATTTCTGTGTATCACTCACAGATTGTTAGTTTCTCAATAATCCGAGACAAGTAGTGTCTATAGACCGATATAAGCTGTTCGCATCACTTAATAGGCTTTAATAATGTGGATATAAACACTGATAAGAAAGATACCACAGAAGCATTCAGTCGGACTATTGATTTCGCAAATAAATTGTGTATGTGGTCTTGATTTAGTAGATATCAAGTGACTGTGAAGTAATTTTAATAGCTACAACTTTAACCGTCATTATATTTTCACTGAGAACTTAATATTGTCCTTGAAGAAACACATTTGGTTAGAGTAAAATTATGATATAAGTTCTTCATGAGTTTGATTAACAGCATGAACTTCTAAAACGTTCTTCTGACTTATCTTTCGAAGAAATGTACCATCATTCTATAGGTAAACTCGTCACTGATATTTATTCGTCGTGGTATTTAGAATAGCTAGTAGATTTTCGTTCAAACTTCTCAATAAATGTGTTATCAATATAGAGAAACAAAAGAGGAAGCAGTGTGTAAATAAGAATCAGTCGATTGAATGGATCTTCGATCAAAGATATCAGCTCTATATCATTTGGATTCTTTGTTTACAGCATTAACATGAATCCAAAAATCCTGTTTCAAACACAACCACTGTAAGATGGCAGTGATACTAATTAAACGCGAATAGCAACTCTAAATTATCAGTTTATGGACTTGCACCTATCATCAATGTAACGCCGCGAGAGTTTCAATTTATCTAACCAACATGAACTAAGTTTTTGGATTAAAAGCTGGAGAAAACCTAAACGGTTACCGTTTCACTAGTGGTGCCACGGAAGTGTTTCATATCGCTCCGTGACGAAGTTGATATAGCTGCAAAGATTTAAGTTTGATAGCCAGTATCTACAGTTGTTTTTATGTTAAATGGCATACAGTCATGTTTACTTCTGCGTTACCTTCGTTTATGTGAGTCATTTTTATTGAGAAAGGTCTATTCCATCAACCAATTCATTTAGGAGTTTGAGCAGATAATTTCGTCCTATTACTGCTCATTATTAATCAACTGGAAATCTATTTATAATTGTGCTAACCTAAACTTGCCTGAAACACGTCTAAAAACCCTATCTACACAATCTAAAACACATTTTCTATGGTAAAACAAGACAGGTTATTTAGATTTACTTGATATTTGGTTCAAATTTAAACTAATAATCATACCTTAAGTTGGTTTAAATTTAAAATGACGTCATAAACATCTTAACTTTATTTCGATAAAGCATTTATGCCGAATATCTACATTTGAACAAAGCTGATTTTTACACAGCTTTGCTCATAGATGAATGAAGTATATTACAGATTATTAGCTATCAAAATTTTAAGACTTCATTTAATAATTAGTCAGTTTAACAAAGACCTATTTCCCTTAACCTAAGTGAACAACAATCATATGAAAAGTTTAAGTAATTTCCATTATGAAAAGCGATAAGCCTCGCGTTCTGCTTCAAGAAACTCTCCTAGTATTCCGTTTGAACTATAGAATCTATATATGGATTCTACTGGTGTTCATCCCGATTGATCTTTTTATATGCCTGAGTGGTGATTGAAATTCTGCCATTCATATTATGATGTGGTTTACTGGGTCAAGCGACTCGACACCGTAGTGATTTAAATTTTAGCGTAAGATGTTTGGCAGAAATCAGCAAGAGACCCTGTATCTAGATTTTGTGACTGTTATTAGAAGGATATATACACAATGTTGAGGGAAATCAAATCTTATAGGATGAGGACTTCACTATCCAATATCATAGTCAGATTTGTTATTCATGACTAGCAGAGTTACGATACAATTAAGTAATAAAGATACATCTTATCAACGAGTGTCAAATACAATTAAACCTAGGTCCAGTGTTTCTTCTGTCTGTTTCAAATATACAACAGACCTCGGTGTATACACCTTGGTATATAATAATCGTACTAATGTTGATTATCGATGAGATACCCACCTGTTTCGAACCATCCATACGCATCACTAATTTGTTGATAGCTTTTTCAGAACCTCGAGATGAATTTGTAACATATAACTGATTAGATTTCAGGGTGTTCGTTCTTGGCTTTCTCTTGCGAGTTTGAATCCCCTCTTTCTTCATAGATATTGGACGATTTATCTGAGATCGTATAGAAAGGAAATATCCCAAAAAATTATTCACCCCTATGAATAAAAGTATTCTGTCGAATAAATAACCACATTTATTAGGTGGAATAATAAATCAAAACATTAAATTTATGATTAAAGTTATTTTCTATTTTGATTAATTCAGCAGTATTTTTCAGTGAATCACTCCTTTTAATCTAAAAAAAACATATCTACCACTTTTTATCTTGTACTATACATGCATAGCGGAGTGAATTTCAATGCTAAATTTATACTAGACAACTGAAAGTTCATATGGCTTGGTACGTAGGGATATCAAACTTATCTCCAATGGAAATATAGGCATTGATTGATCTTATGAACACACTTTGTAGCTAATGTAGATTTTCTTTGCAGATTTGCTTTTATTAAGTTGATTGGCTTATTCTAGACAAAAATCTTTGTGACAAATTAGTATCAGTAACACAGAAATATAGATTATCCGATAAATGAACCGTATTTTCTTTTTGTCAACGTAGATCAATACAGAATAATGGACAACTATGTCTTGGCTGGGAGCTTAATATTCTATCTAGAAATGATTAAGTCAAGTTTAAATTATTTTTGGAGACAGTGTAATATCAAATACTTCTAGATACTTTATCACATCCCGTTAAATTGAAATTCTTTCAGTATATTTGATTATTGATTACAAAAAATCTATCACTATTAATTGGACCTATAATTTCATACTGATTAATGAAAGATCTTAACAAGTAACCTTTTAGGTTTCTTTATTCTTCAAGATATTTTGTACATTGATTAAACTACATCCATCAACATTTGAACAAGTGATTGGTTGGAATTGTTTGCGAATAAATAGTCTAACTACTATTTCAATTTTGAGTAACTTAAAAATGTAACTGAAACTAAACGGCGTTTATAAGTAAAGTATGTAAATAGTATGAATCATTTGAAAACTCCAAGTTACCTAATACACTTTTGTTCATTAAAAGCAAATAAATCCTTTGAAGCAATAAAATTGATGCATGCATATTTTATTTTACTTGTTTATCTGTATTAGCTGAGAACTATTACACTGTACACGCCTAAAAAATCACCAGTCATCTATCTAAAAGACTGATTCATCAAAATATTTTAACATGAACGTTTTACAAAGTTTGAAGCCAAGTTGACTTTCCCGAATACAGTACATGAGGAACTATCCGGAAAATAAGTCAGGTAGCGAAAAAAACATATGAGACCTCAACATTTTGTGTTCTAAAGAACACAATCAATGTTCATACTTGACCTGCAGTCTTCGTAAGTTTCACAAAAATGCTAAATCCACTGCAAAAGCACTACTCTCATAAATTCCTTATCGTTATAAACAGCCTTTAACTTCAGAAAAAATTTACTTAAATCCCAAGCAACCTAACAGTTTAGTTTGTATTTCAATTGAATCGATTACGTATATTTTACAGCGGATAATAGTCCAAACATAGTGTTTCAGTCATATCAGAAGAGATTGTTTTGTTCCACTGGGTATGCAAAAACCAAAAATGGATGTCATGATACTGTGCTAAAATTCCTAAGTTTTATTTTTGTTTTAAAGCAGGAAGAAAAAACAATTATGAAGCTTTTGTTACCTAACCTTGTGTAATTTATAATATAGTCCACAAGCATTGCAAACTGGCTCTCCTTCAGTATTACGACGCCATAGGGTAGTCGCTGAAGTATTACAATTGGTACAAAACTGTCCTGAACGACGTGCAGAGTTTTGGATACTTAACTATTGATGATTAAAATGAGGAAATGAGAAATAGTACACGTAGAATATTTGGAAACAGTGGTTGTAACTGTCGTCATAAATATGAAAATACATGAAAATATAAAAAAATTTTAAACAACTAAGTTATGACATAATAAAAATCCGTGTGAAATCGCATTAATACAATTCACTTATCATAACTTATCAATCAATAAAGAGAGCAAATAAGCGGCGGAATGGCCTTTCAATTAGTTTTTTATCATGGCTCTATACTAATATACATACTTTAAACAATGATTTACCACTAATTGGAACCTTTCTGGGGTTACTGCTTGTCCCAAGCCCTAATAAAAAAGGAGACTTATTAACGGGGTCAGTGACCATATCCAGCAGGAAAAAACCTCCTAAAAACTCTCACCAGAAAAAATGATTCATGCTATTGAAACGCTGCCCTGCAAATATGAAGGTCTTCGTTTAAAACGATATGAGGCTTCATAGTGAAGGCCGAGTTTCTTCGAAAGTCACAAAACCGGCGCCCCTTCTCACAAACAGAGCGACCATTCTCTCAGGTACATTGAACAACCAAACAATGTGCGAGACCGTGAGGCTGTTCCAAATTGATGCAAAGATGAAAAGATACAACCTAGAAGTGCTTGGAATCAGCGAAACGCATTGGACGCAGGTTGGACAGTTGAAACTAGCTTCAGGAGAGCTGCTGTTATACTCCAGCCACGAAGAAGAAAATGCCTCACACACTCAAGGAGTTGCACTAATATTCTCCAGAGAAGCACAAAAGGCACTGATAGGATGCGAATCTCATAGACATTGCTCATGACTAAGATTGAGAGAACTGCAATGAATGTTATTCTGTGCAAAGCGATTACCAATGATATTAATGAGAGACTGTGAGAGACTGCAGTCAGTCACACACAAAAACTTACCAAAGGATTCAACCAATCTGAGCTCTCAAAACCATATCAAAGGTAGTTAATAATATACATTCAATGATTCGTGATTTCAATGAAATTCAACAATCTCTACAACTTCTTACTGATAAACTAATTGAATTATCGTAGGGCTAATATAATAACGGTATATTAGGCTGTTTATTGGAAATTACTGATATGACTGTGCTAAATGGTTGAAATATCATAAAATCTCACATAATGAACATTGAGTACATTTTTTCTTCAATAGATTCTCATTCTATTAAACACATCAGCGATTAGCGTCACTGATTTTTCCAACCGATTTTGTTGCAATCTAAGTGAGTGAATCCATTGTTCGATAAACAACAGGACTAATTTGCAATAATTCATAGATGATTCAATTTTAAGGTAAAAACTAGAAACAATCATTTCATTTATTGTAATATACTTATGCTTTCCAGCCCGTTTTTTTCTGATACTCTACGATATCTTTGATATCTTCTGTGACCCATGTGAAGCTAACAACTAACACCTTTGCATTACTCCTAAATAATACGCACTTACATGTGTCATAATTTCATAGCACATAGTGCCGACAAAAGAAAACAAATCCTATCAACCATATTAAATCACCGTGTTTCACTATGAAGTAGCCGGATTGCATAATACACTTATGCAACAATCACGTTAGATTAAGCCTTACATAAAGAATAAATCCATAGCTTACTGGGTTTGATGATTTGGGGATCTTTCCTTCACTATGTAGTGAATCGATTGATTCACTTGTAACAGCCGTTTCCTTTATCAGATTCGTTGTATACTGTGACCATGAAGAACAATTAGAAATCGCTTGAGGTGATTGCAATGGCAAGTGTTTATCTGAAAAAGAACATCAAAAAACATAGTAAATAAATAAATCACAATTTTTCATGTAGGTTATGAGTTAAATGTTAACATGTTAAACCAACAAAATTATTCATAAATGTTCTCTTTAATTTCTCCAACAAAAAAATTTATGAGTTAATTCAGAAACCGGTAAATTATACTTATCGAGGAAATCATATTTTTTAAAATAACAACTACTTCATTTGTTATGCTTTAAAGTCCACATTTTGAACTGTCTACTTGTTTTGAGATGGTGGGGAAAATTTGTAGCTCAGATGGATGATTGTGGTGGTGTTTCGTTCTCTGAGTTGGATGTTTTGGTGAAGAAATTCGAATGCTTCACTTCTATCTGAAGTTTGTGCTGATGATATTGTTCAGAAGAACAATGAAAGCTCCACAACCAACACCACGTCAAACAACTTAGCACAGTTTATAACTTCAAGAAAGTACTTCGGTATTACTTGTTATCAATAGTTTATACAATTTCTTTGTTATTGACAATTATTATTATTATTATTCTCGGTGTTCTTGAGCTTATCTAAATCTTCTTCAGTCAATAAACTCTAGAAGGTATGCTTAATAACTGAACCAAGTCAGTCAGTCAGATGCAACGTAGAACTTCGTACGTAAGTACATCAGTTCATGTTGCCATACCACATCAGCACAGAGATATAATTGTCCATTCAAATCCAATAGTAGTAGAGGTAGTAAGGGAATTAGAAGTAATCGGAGAGGTTAGCGTTAGAAGATACTATTCAAGAAGTATGATTCAGTGAGAAAAGTTTAGAAAGTCAAAAATAGAGGTGTTGAAGAATCCAGAAGATTAGGGTTTGAGAATAATTGAACCAAGATTTAGACCAAAATTGCTTGGACATTATTTTCAGACTGGTTGATTAAGTTTTCTGCTATATTGATTAAACACAACATTCAGAAACAATTCAAGTTAAATTAACCGCTGTCGGATAAAATGAAACAAGATTAACGCATGTATGAATATTAGAGCTGTAAATAATGAGTAGTTTAATTATTATCATTATCATTATTAGTAGTTACAAAATTCTTCTTGCTGTCTAATAGACAAATGCATTTAACAATTAAAGTTAGAAAACACACTTTAACAAGAATTTAAAGTAGAATTCAAGGCGCTAACAAGCTATGTTTAAAAAAACACTATTGAACAACGACACAAAAGCAAATTAAAAGCCACCCATAACGATTTGCACGTTTCCATAGACAGATCAGAGTTATCCAAACCCCGGAAATCACTTGAAAACAAACTCACCCTCAGTGTTTCAGGGATCAGTCAACTTGAGCTGCTTAATTTTTTCAGCTTATTTGAATTTGACGAACTGCTTTTAGTGTATAACTTTATCGTACACAACATTGTTTTAGCCATCATAAAATGTAGCCTTGACTTGATGGTTTTTAACTGAAATGTTAATGATATTACTAATGAACGGATGAAATTTTTTCTCATTTTTGAGAAATTTTAACATAAGTCTTGTTATTTCTTTTTATCTCAAATAACTAGAAGTGATTATTTTTGAAACATTAAAAAACTGTTAGTCATTAGAGTGTCACCAAAATTTGTATGCATACTGAGTAGTTGATTAAGTGTTCAGGTGTACAGGTATGAAACTTGTGTTGCAAAAACTTTGGGATCAAACAGTTATGCGCATTACTTTAAAGTATCAACCTTCCGCCAAAAATTCTGAAAATTACCAAAAAAGATACATCAAATACTCACCTATCTCATTTATATTGTTCATAGAATTGAATATAAATGACGGATCTTTTGAATAAGGTTTGACATCATTCCATATCAGCAAAGGCAAACTGCCAGTATCTTGGTCTAAGTCTGATCTATTTCCATTGTGTATTCCACCATGCAGTAATGGATCAAGAAATGCCTTGGTCTCATCAACTGGTACATTTAAACTTGATACATGTATCTTCTTTCTTGTCGATTGACTTCTGCTGTTGTCATCATTGATTTGTTGATCACATTCGTTGCATAGATAAAGTTCAGTCATTCTATCGAAAACCCATTGTTGATTTTCAATATTAAATGTTCCACATTGTACACACTGAGGAGCTGGTAAACATTTTTGTAAATTTTTTGTGGGAAATAATAATAACGATTAAAATTGAATTGTTAGTTGTTTTTCTTAAGGAAAAAATATTTTTAAGAGAAAAAATATCTACTAATGTATTTTGACATAAAAATAATATTGAACTATCATGTGGACTTTTTCAACTATTCAATTATTCAATATTCTGTCAAACTTTATTGTTCAGACGTAATAGTACCTAACTAGTTTCATCAGGACAAGTAAATTTTAAATTCTCAACCACTTCCCTAAACTATACATGTGTCTCATTTCACTTGGTTTATAAAATGTTTCCCGTTACATTTAAAAAGAAGCGTCTCGCGCTTGTTCAATTAGTAGGAAGTAGTATGATGAATCCATTTTAAAGTAAAACAAACTGAAACATGTTATATAGAGAATACAGTGGTTCATTAACACAGGTTCTCAATACCAACGAAAGTAAAAATCTTATTTACCAAATTATCCGAGATTTATTTCTTCTTTTTTGTTATTAAAAAAGGATGATTTATTTAAAAAATTTCTCTATTTGCAAAATATTCACATTTTCTCGGATTAGTGTCTTCGAAAATGCTCATAGTAAATAACTATGTTCATGCTTACTGGTTTCATGAAGTGTTAAGATCAGTTGTGTTAAATTACAGTTATTCTCTCAGATCGATGTCATCTAACTAGGTACTGGGATGTAATGAAGAATTTTAATATTTCTGAGTTCGCTTTTGAAGATTAGAAGATAATGATTAATTTGTTGAGCTAGAAATTATTTTTCAAGGTGAACCAATCCAATCTATCTGCTATACCACAGATTGTCGTTTGTTCGACTGGATATTTTCTCAGAGATCCCTTTATTCCACCAATTCTTCAGCGGAGTTGCATAGTTCAGTTCACAGTAGCCTAATCTTCGAAAAACTACAACATGAAACAGCTCTGTGTGTAGTACGGTTATGTTCAAATTATTTTCTCTTCAATAAATTATTCGACAAACTCTAGGATCTTACATTCCACCTGTCATAAGAAAACGCGAGAGATTGATGTAGGTTTCTAAATAATGCTTCCTCATCTTAGTCTCATAAATTCTAATTCAGTAAATTTCAACAGGACACCGAACATTTCCGCACATAGTAGACATACCATGTATTGTATATATACATTCACATGTGTTTCTACTCCTACGTTATGAAAATAAACATGCTAGTATCATGAGTAACACATGTTGTTGCAACAATTTTTTTTAAAAAAAAACTTGTTTTGGTTAAATTAAAACAAGCATGACTATGCTTGCTTTTAAGGTCGAACTATGAAAAAAATATTTTCCTACAGAGAATCTATCCTTCATCTGTCCATTTGATTTGTTATTTCGGTTAATTGTTTTCCTCATAATTTCAATGTGTACTTACCTAGCTAACTAACTAACTACTACTACTACTACTCAATGTAGTCATTAGCTACCCTACCTCACTCCAATTTATTCATATATATATCTGAAGGGATAAAAAATACGATGATGGTGGTGGTGGACTAAGTAAACGAGAAACAGAAAAGCAAAGTGAGTAAACTCGTTGAAAAATTAAGACAGGAAAATATGCAAGCCTATATAATATATATATATATATATATATATATATGATGTATATATCCACATGGGTGAGATTTGTGACCGCTGTCATTGTCGTGTTTGCTCGGCTTATCAGTACGAGTAAGTAAATAGAAAAATGAACTTCATGTATTTAATATAGTAGGCGGTGTTGATTGGTGTGGTGGTGGTAATATTACTGTTGTTATGACCTAAGGTACAAATTTTGTTCTTATTTGTTCTTATTAGTTATGATATGGTTGATTATTATTATTATTATGAACGAGGGTGGAGATCAATGAAGTATAGGCGCATTTCAATAAAACTAAACTGGAAGGACACAATGACAACAAATGAGCCATTGTGCATCTTTTTGTCCTACTCTCTTCTAATATGCTGAAAATAAATATGTAAAATCCTATTATCCCAGTTTGTATTGAGTGCATACTGGCATATCCTTGTAGTTAGAGATACTAACATACACTGTAGATGAATGTGTACAGAGAAAAATTGAGACTGTTGTAAAACTTCGTTTACAGTGGAACAATAATAACAACAGCAACAGCAACATATGCTGTGTTAATAAAAACAAGCAAGCAGGATTCGATTCAGTCAAGAATATGAGGAGAATATTAAGCTAGTAAAAGAGAGAGAAAAAAATGTATCCACTAAAATAACGTCCTTCCTATTAGTAAGCATATGAATACTGACAAAGTCAATCACTATTTGCGTTAAGCTTTTTTTTTTTTGATTGTTTCACTAATGAACCAACTGAAAACCAGCTGTAATTTTTAAAGCCAGTAAATAACAAGCAAAAGTTCCTAGTTTCGCGTTTACAAAAGGCACAAAAACGGTGAATGATTCAAATTGCTAGTCGATTGTCAAAAATATCCATTTCAACAAGATTCCAGGAGTAGTTTGTGCATGATATAGCTAGCTGGTAGAACAGTTTCTGACATCAAACAAAACATTGACCAAATAACATTTAGATATTTTTGAACAAATAAAAATTATCGTTGATACATAATTTTAATTTTTATCAACGCAATAATAATACATTTTTAAGTGTATTCCATAAGAAAATATTGCTAATCGAACAGTATTTCTATCAATAGATAAATCCGGTTGTAATATTCTAATCAAATTGTAAATCACACAGTTATGACAAGTGTTCAGAAAAGCATTAGATACTCAACGTAACTGCATTCATTCAGCCTAAGTTTCAAAATGGGTAATAATAAAAATTTCTAACATGCACATTCTAAAAGTTGAAATTATTCCGTGATAATTATCGGTTTATCAGAAGTGTAGTTAATGAGGTTTATTCTAGTAAACGGTATACTTTCACACTAACTAGATCTAGCCAATTAGATTAAAATAGACTGATATTTTGAAGTTGTTCAATAGTTTGAAAGGAGTAGTTCCTTATAGAGTATTTATGTGTTTTTCATAACTAACTTATTGAGAAAAAAACCACTATATTTTAGATCACAGTAGGGCAGTATCCACAGGGACAATAATTGGACTGTGGGTGTTAGTAATTAAGAAATAAGACGAGACTATATATTCAAGGTAGATTGTTTCAGTTTCGAACATGGAAGCAATTGCGAGACCCAGTGGATCACTTTACTTAACTTGTGTGTATGGTTGGAAGTACTTTACTTCTTGAATGGTTAATACTGTGGAAAAGTATCTGGAACTGCAATCGAATCCAACTGAAGAATATCCTTTTCAGAAAAGTCATCAAAACTTTTAATACTTCTATTGATACTACAGTGAAAACAAAGCTATAATATCCATTTGAGACATATTTTGAATCTGAAAAGAATACTAGATAAAGCAAATAGTTTCAAACTACAATTATGTAATGTGTTTGACTAGTATAGTTTTTGAAAACGAATTTGATTGAGTAGATAGTTTAACACTTGATTTTTTCCATCAAAGGCCAACTATGTGCTGATATTACAAAGTAAACTGAATATTCTGATTGGAATATTTCACAGTTTGATATCACTTAAGTGGCTTGTTATAAATGTAATCCTGAATTGATAAACTTTTATCAGTGACTAAAGTCAAAGTCATCTGTCAGTTAGTATCAAATGACAAGTATTTGTAGATAGTTCAGTTTTAAGGATACTCATGAGTGATCTAAATAGATAAGAAGTAATATTTGTAGTACTTATTGGAACTTGTTAAATTCCATCACAGGGAGTACACCTGAAAGGTTGGAGAACATAATGAAACTGGGTGTTCCAGTGTTTCGTTGGTTTTTGGTTAAACCAACTGACTATTGTATTTAGTGTGTAAAATGTACTTTAATTTGCATTTAGTACTGATAGCTCCATTACAGTTTTTGTCTACCATTTGCTATGAATGAACTCCTACGTTATTCATATTAACATCATACAGACAAGAAATGGGACAAAATTCATTCAATCTTATAAAACTATGGTTTTTACAACGTCAAATGAATTTCATAAGTTGTTTTAAATTAATCAGTTAAAAATCCTGGATTCCAAGTTTACTGGATCATAACAAATAATACTGATTGGATTTCTCTGCGAACTGTTATGCTCAGAAGATGCAGATACCGGTAATGACATTAAAAATCCGTTAGGATAAGTTTGGATTTAAAAAGTAATCATGTATTTAATGCTTCAAACTGTAAGAAAAAATATCTTGTAATAAGTAAATGAATATGTGGGAATAAAGACGGCAGATACTTTTATGGTTTTGTGTTCTATGAAATCAGTAGTTTCATGATAAAACTTTTGTAACTTCGACTATCCCATTTCAAATTTTACTCTCTGTCAAAAAACAACCAATTTTACAGACTAAAAATCCGTATAAATATATATAAACTAATCACATCATTTTTTAGTGGGATTCGTTGAATATTATCTTTATTACTGTCATCTAGACACGATGAAAGCCCATCGAAGAGAAAAACTCATACTAAATAATGCGGGTATTCATTTGTTTACATCTATAACATCTCCATTGTCCTGTTATTCTCCCTTGTCACCATCGTTTATACTCTTCATCTCAATTGGATAAATTTTCCTCTACAGAAATGAATAAAAATTAGGTGATGATAGATATCAAAGAAAGTAAGAGGGAAGGTGAAAGAAAGGACAGAGCTGATGCATTCACACCTGCCCTATCCAAAGTGTTTTGTTACGAAACTCCAATTCTTGTGAAATGTGGATACACACATGGACTTGCAAATTACTGCTTCCGTATAAATGATATGCATGTATTCATTTTTGACCGTGGCTTCGCTTGTGTGAATTTGCGTATGCTAAGCTTGATTAATCATGTGACGTTTATTTACTTATTCTATTTTTTTTTTAATTCTTTTCAAGTTGTTTTTCAGTTTCAGTGAGGGGTGCAGTTGAATTGTAAGTACCAAAAAATATCAGTAAAGTCGTCCTGATAAATAAACAATCTTTCTATAAGTTAAGTCTATCTGCCTAAATAACAATAAACAGGCTTTCATTCTAACATATGACATACATAGTTATACGCTTTTAAGTGTATGTGCAGAACAAACAAATACGTTATTGGATAACAAGTATTCATTAGAAAAAAAAAACAATAACCACAGAGTATGCTAATAAAGTAAACCTTGTTCTCTGGAAACAATCTTAATTAATAAACTCAAAAAATGGCAATAATTACTCTATAACATATCATCCAGTAGGCCTATGTGATTAGTTCAATCTGACTAAGCGTTGATACTTACAAAATACACAAGCGCACACAAGCATTTTGTGTATGCTACATTTTGTTTGCAACTCACACATCTTTTGCTAGTTCATTCAAGTTCATTCATAGACCAACATCTCATGCAATAATACTGATAATGATGATTTTTTCACGCTTTGTAATACCATTTTTTTTTTATTTCACAGTGCTTGTGGTAGACAACATTCTTAAACTTCATTTGTTATCCATTACAAGATGTTGTATACAAATCTGTTACACAATGATAATCTAATATAACCTGTACTTGGTGCATTATAGTAACTGAATATCATCAAACCGAATTCCATACTTTGAGAATAGCCGTCTCCTAGAGGACCTCATACTGACTGTGAAATTTAATCAAAATTTCACTCAGCATCAAATAATCCGTAGCATTATTGTTGCTAAATTATTCAAAGTTCAGCTAACTACCTCAAAACTACTCATTTGATTTAGAGATATTCAATACGGGTCATTCAAGAATGTCGATGTAGCTGCTATGCTGAATATCACCTTACAATTCCAGATAATTGGTGGTGGTCGCCAAACATCAGGGGCGTATAATTTATGATTGTTTTCAGTCACAAATGACCATTGAAACATTTCAAACGATTCATTCTTATAATTTGGACTAGTTAAGTGAATATTCTTTTCTTCAATATAGGAATGTATCAAATAAGTTATTTATAGCGTTGTTCTAACATTCTGTAAGCAGGATTTTAGATTTTAAAGGGTCGCATGGAAATTTCTATCATACTTCACAAGCAAACGTTTGGTGGCACTTGATTCTAATTACTCTCAAAATTGAATGAACGGATGGTCAAGATGAATACGGAACATAAAATATTTGAACGACCAATCATATGTGATATTCAGGCGGGCATTGACGAGGTGTTTTAAGTTACATGTATTCACTGAATAGGGATTTTCTTTAGCATATACATTAATAAGAAACCAATTAATAAATCAACTGGGAATGTGCAATAAACTAAATGGAATAAGAATTGATTTAAACTAAATAATTTTTGAGTAGCAGAAGGCATAGTTGATTGAAAATTACTAGAAACAAATTCTGTTATGTGTAAGCAGATATTTCATTTACATTTTCAATGTGATATTGCTTTGTTATTAGTATTAAACACTGTTAAAGTCCTCAGAGCTACAGAAGGTCACACTTTAGTTTTAATTACAAAGCATCGCAGCACTAGACAAATATAGTCATTATGATAAAGAGTATACAGGCAGAAAATTATACATACAGGGATCAAAAACTTATCTGCATGCATCTGTACAACTAAGGTCGATCCTAAGTAAGCTACTGTATACCACGTTAAATATGTATGTATAGAAAAAGTTGTATTAATTAACTACTGTCTATCAAGGTGGTTTATTTCACAATGTATACACCCAACGTTAAAGCAGTAAACATGGATAAACTACCCTTTAACACCAACATAAATCAATACAATGAAGAATCTTAGGGTAAATACTAATTTTAACAATTAGGTAATTAACCAACATTTGTTATAACTGAATACTCAACTCATTCTTGCTGAATTTTAAATTGTTTTTGTAGGTATTGCCTTCTCTGAACTGGATGATTAACCCATGTAGCTTTCATTGCCTTTTTGGACATCATCAGAACATGTTTTGGAAAGTGTACTTTTGAAAAACATAAAGGATGGATACATGATCTTGAATATGCTGAACTCCAGCCTCTTCTTTGATACAATTATTATCCTTTTTTAGATAAATACAAAATAGTGAACGAAGTCAGTATTTTGACACTGTTTACTGATTTACACTGAATTAAGGCAACTGGTATTACTAACATGAAAAAAGATGTAACCTTTAAGTTAACAAATTCATGATCATAAGTAAATTTTGAGACTAGTTTATTTCAAAGTATGTTACGATTTGTGTCTCTTAGTTTCGATCATGAAACATAACTCAAAGGTAAATATGTAGTACAGACTATCAGAAAGAAACGAAACAAGTTTCCAATGTTTTCCTGCAAGATGATTTCTCATGGTTTTCGCCATGTACAGATTTTTATACTTGAGTATACTATGAGTATAAGGGCTGTTGATACTACCCAAAGTAGATGGAGCAAGGTTCTAATCTGGGCACTAATGACTGAGATTTTTAACCACTGACATATGAAGATTCGATGGACGTAAGAGTCGATTTCATGTTTCTTTAGACTGGTGCCTAAAACTAGAGCCCCAGACAACTCGGTTACTCCACCAATGAATAATGTTTGAATAATATTCATCTCCAAGAATCAACATTTTAATCAGCAAATATAGGTAAATCATTTTCATTGATTTACACGGTAGACAAAAAGAATTTTACAATACGATTGGAACATCTATCAGAAAAAAAAATTTAAAAATACTTTGGTTTCTAATCTGTTATAGAAATTTACAAAAGTCATATGAAATCCCCTTAACACTGATTCCAGAATCAACTTAACACCTCAGTTCTTTCTTACTTTCATCCACCTATGATAAAGTGGCTAGGAGCTCGATGAAAATCGAACTATCACTGCAATTCAACTACATGTTGTTTTTAATATAATTCGACAATTTTCTTCATATTTTAGCTACATATTCTGCCTTTTAAATATATTCGGATTTAGTACAACTTTTTATAAAAACATAGATAAAGGAGAACTCAACACTTCAGTGTTTATTCTTCCTCAGGTAGAATTTTTTAGGTACAAATAATAAAAACTAGCAATGTTATCTAAATGTATTAAATGATAATGTGATAACACTAGACAAACATTTCATCCTTAGAAAACGTAGTCTTTTACTTCATGATATCTCATCACTTGTGCTGAGCCTATGAACAAGCAGCAAACTTGTTGGTCACATTTACCATGCAACAAGTTTTGTTACCTTAAATAAGTTGCTGAAAACGAAGTATAGATATAGACACTAAAAGATCATTTAGCATTTATTAAACTATCAGATACAATGGTAAATAGTAACTAGCACTTGGGGATCATACTGCATGGTAGCTCACATTTCCCGATAGACAACGATGAAACGCGTCCTATTGACACTGAAATTCACAATAAGACTACATTTTCTTCACCGCTGATTCTCAAAGCTTGTTCGTGTATCACAGGATTACCGAATGAGCGATGTTGGGTTCGGTTCACCAATCTTGATAACGAAGGACAGTAAGCCGAAGTGGTTGTGAACCTGCACAGCCTGGGATGATACTCAATCGGAGTTACCGCATACTAAGTAGGCTATAATTAGATCTGAATAAAACTGAAAAAGGGATTGAGGAAGAAATCGCCTGACAAATTCGTTGACTGTTAGTTTCAAAAATTACTTGGCTTTGAAGGATGGTATGAACCAGTGAGTTGAATGCATTTATGAGCATCCTTCGCTAATTTTGAACGTGTCATCACAGATTCATTTATTTTCCTCGTTTACCCACATCTCGAGCGTCTGTTTTGATGTTTATTTTTCTCTATTTGCTATACAAACGTGTGATCAACTGAACTAGCGGACTTTTCTGAGAGGTTCTAACTTGTGCCAACCTAATATTGTGTGCTGTCGATCATAAGTTCCAAATATTCTTCACATAATTAATATTCTACAGTAACTCAGTAACGAAATACAGTTTCATCGACTAGATTCAAAACCGTAAGTTTTATGTAACAGTTACTGATAAAACCAAGATTTCCAGACCAAATTATGTGAAGTGAGATTTATATCTGTAACCTAGTGGTTAAAGTTTACAAAATTCATAGTAAATATGCTTAATCAACGACATAACTTACTTTCATGAAACATAGGTTGTTTTTCTGCGGTTATCTGAGAGCTATGCTCCATGCCAAGTTTATTGATTATTGAGCGAGGTTCACTTGCAAGAAGGTCGTCTTCAAGTTGCTGTTGATATTGGTGTTGTCCCTGTGTATTTATCATCATCAAATGCTTAGGCATCCATTTGATGGTTTCCGTTGGTGTTGGCAAGTGAATAAATAATTGTTTTTGCTGATCCTGATGTTCGTGATTATGTAGATTAGGCATATTAGATAAATTATATCGTTGTTTATAACTACATTCTGTCGAATAAAGTTGTGAAGGTATGTAGGAAGCAATGTCAGTTTGAGGAAAACCCTGTTGTGACTGCTGTAACTGATGCTGGTGATGATGACGATGCTCAGAGGATGATGATGATGAAGATGAAGATGAAGAAGAGCATGATGTTGTGTAATTAGCTGAGATTGAATGTTGCATTTCCTGTTGTACTGTGTATGGATTGATGGTAAACTGAGCATGGTTTATAAAGTTAGTGACCGGTTTTTCTACCTGTAATGGTTCACAATTATGAATTAGTGAGGCAGAAGGGGAGGAAGGGAAGGACGTTGGTAAAGATAATGAAGAAGTGTATAGATCCAAAGGATAGTTAAGAATTGAAGATTTTATAACTTCTTGCATTGTCTGACCGATATCAAATGGTTCTTCAATTCCTATTGTATTTGGGTTAGTGTAATTATTAAACATGCACAGTGAATTTCTATTTGGCTGGGGTGTTTTACTATCCATATAATCATGAAACGTTTCACTGCCATCACTATCTCCATTCTTAGTTTGATTGTTATTCTCCATGTTTTCCAATGTACAATTCCCACTGAGACATTTTGAAGCATTATCCAGCATTGAAGAGTCTAATCTTGTAACACGATTGTTATGACTATTAGACGGGAACAATATGTTAACAGTTGATAGTGACGGTAGCGATGAACACAAAGATGGTGGTATTTCAACTGATGAGTTTCTGACTAACTGATTACAGTTAGACAAAAGTTTAAGGAGATTTGGATTAGAATGATTAATATGGTAGCCATTTTCAGCGTAAACGACTTGATGATGATTAATGTTGTCATTATTTTCCTCAATATCTTTGCTAATAATTGTCTCCATATCACCACAGCTGTTGTCACTGTCGGTTGATATAATGGGTTGATTTGCCGACAACTCAATAGTATTCCCCATATTAAGCTGAGACGCAGAAAACTCGTCACATTTCAGCGTGGTTAGAGAAGAGTTTATCGGAGATGATACTTTAGACCAAAGAGAATTAGGATTTAAGAAATTTTGCTGTTCATTATTCAAGAAACTGGAGAATGAATCTTTGGTTTTTGATAACGATATAAACTGGGAAAATGGATTGGGGTTAGTAATGGGAAAAGGGCTTGTCGATAAATTGCGATTACATTCTTTGGTTGGAGTATCACAGTCTTCACAAACATTCATATAACGTGATGAACATGTGAAAGGGGAACTTCGCCTGCAACAAGGACACAGATGGCCATTTTTCACATGTTGACATGAACCACTGGGAAAGCATAACCTATTTTCCACTTCTGAATGGTAATATTTCTTTGGACTAATAGTATTTAAATCAACCATACTATATCTAGAATCTGGCTTTATTTGCAACAGGTTTAAATGATATCATTCGAAGTATATTGAAACAGAGATGATATTTTTTTGGAATAATTCACTATACTTGTTTTTTTTAATCACAATACAGTTTCAAGATTAATTAAACTTTTAACACAAGTAATTCATTCAAACTTTTCACTTCTTGCGTTTGACCAGGCTAGTTAATATCTCGATAACAAGTAATTCACAATTAAACTATTCAGATTAAACCTATGAATAAAAGAAAAATCATTAATGATGCATGATTGCAGTCGACTATGATAATTTACTTAAATCGTAGATACATTTCTTTTCTACTTTAGAATCGTCGGGAAAACAAGAGTGGGGTCTGAAGTGAACTACCACTCTTAGTAATTGTGCCTAGTTAATTTGCCATAAGTATGCTGCATTTAAATTATTGATATACAACCTAATAATCTGTGTGTTAAACCAACAAAAGCTATAATAATAATAATAATTACTATTATTTTATTGTGGATTATATGTGATCTTCTGATTATTTATTCGATTGGCTATATATTACGATTGCCCAAGATAACAACCTATTAAGATGAAGGTAATTATTCCTTAACAATGGGTTGCTTTTTAATTTCAATAATCCAGTGACCGATTTAATAGAATACCGATATCAGTTTGAGCGAAATGTTGTATGTTTGATTTTGACTACAGCTTACAGTGGGTCTTGATGACAAAGGTATTTAGACTTTGTATGTTCTTCATCAACACTTATCAACTGGTGGCTGAAACGAATAGTGAATAAGTTTTATCAATGACTCAACTGTTCGATTATATGATACTCGAAATAAGATTATGTTGAATTTCCCATTCAACATTTATTGTGACCAAATTGAAAGTTACTAGTCTTGTACTATTTCCAATTGACTCATCTTTCTCAATGAATTATTAATTTCGTCGGTCAATGATTTTTGTGAGAAAAAATCCTCACATAGAAAAAAACTAGACAAGGCTGAATGAATTGTACTTGTTAAGTACTTTTTTTCTAATGAATACTACATACCAATGACATTTTTTTTGCACGACCTCATTTTATTCTTAATGTTTAAATGTCACAACAAGTATAAGTCAACATACTAAGTGTTATATAAGTCAAAGGCAATAAAACTATTTAATGACGTCATTCATCGATTGACTCATTATGGCATTCGGTAATCCATGTGTTTCATTGTAACAAACATTCAATAATTGTGTAATAATTTTTTTTATTTCAAAAAAAAAATAGGTTAATAATGAACCAGATGAACACCGACAATTCTATTAATTAGCAAATGTTAAAGAATGAATAAGAGTAAGATCATGAAGAGTAGGGATAGTTTTATCGAAACTCAGAGTTGCTCACAATGATCAGCAAAACTATAGCGAGAATTTCGTTCGTATATTTTTGTGGTTTAGATAAAAGAGCAAATATAAGTTAACTACCATTTCGCCTGTGTAAAAAATAATAGAACTTTCAACAATGTCACTGATTCTTGTACATTAATAATAGCTTAGTTCTGTTATTTAAACATAAGGCAGAATAGGCATATTGATTTACAATTAGAAAACATGAACCTTTGAAATGACCACTATTAAGTTATAACATAAAACTAGGCATCAGGATTAGAAATTACATGATTTCTATACTATACTGCAAGATAATTAGCAATAAAGTAACCACAGTCACGGTTGTACAAGTTATTCAACATATGATCGGGACAAATTGACCGAATTATCGAATTCTCAAAACTGTTTAACATTTAACTGCCATGAATTGTAGAGGTACTATATATATCTATATCATGGAAAGAGATGAAACTGCTGAGAAACTGAACATATCAAGCAAGTTTTAATCTAAAGGAACAAAAATTTTTCTTGCCAATATATATTATACATGAAATATTCCAATCAATATTTTGTGCACAGATATTTCACTCATAAGATATATCGACTCTACGTCAGGACGATATTAACTTTTTTTTTTAAAAAAATATTCTTCCTGCAAAAATCCTCAAAATGTAACCTCATTTAAGGATATTACCATATGAGAAAGCACGAATTTGCGATAGGATCAGTGAATCGCTTGAAGTTTCACTTTGTACTCTTTTTAAATAAATTATGATGGAATTTTAGAAACAATGATGGATTTTGATCTATACAATGTAGCAGTGCAAACTTGAAAGAGTTTCTCTCCACTATGTACATAGTCATGTTTTCAATAGACTTGATACAACGGATACAGCTAGTGTTAGTCAGCTGACATTAACATTTTTATTCACTTATTAACTGTTCCCTATTCAAATGAAGTATATAGAATCAATCATAATTAAATGTATATATTACTAATTAGTAGACAATTTCGTTTAAGTATACAGTAAAATTATCAATGTCATCTAATAATTACTCAACAAAAATTTATACCCGCACTAATAGATGAGGTTGTGAAGTGAAGTGAAGTGAAGTGAAGTGTGCACTTTCTTAAGTTAACAGTTTACGCATTAAATTCATGTTGACAAGAATGAATATTGAACAAATATTGAACACTTACAGGAAATGTAATATTCATGAAAGTTTTTTCTATTGGAATAGTCGAAAATTTTATGTTTTCAATCAAAAAGACTATTTGAATATTTATATATTTATATATTTATATAGAAGTTGGCTTTTCCATAAAAATAATCCATAAGAATTGTCCGACCAAATTATTATTAGCCATTGTTTGTATTGTTTTTTTGTTTTTTTTTAGTTGGATATATTTTATCCATTTGTCTGTCCGAAGAAATTTCGATGTGCGTATTGCGAAAACTGGCCAATCAAATTTGCAAGTTTACGAAAATTTGGAGGCAGAAATTTTCTACTTTGACTGAAATTATCCAATGACCATGTATGAAAAGGACACACTGTCAACTATTAAAACGAATATCTGCCGAATTTACGATTGGTCATTGGTGTTAGCCCTGTTGGATAAAGGTTTTTTTCAGACAAATTTAATCAAGTAATCTGCATTGGAATGATACGATTTTCGTCAACGAAGTTCTTCGAATATCTATCAATTTTGTGAATGACTTATTTCTCCTCCCCCCCCTCCATGCTAGAAAAATGCTCGTACGCAGAAATTGTATTTCAGTCAATTCTTTTATCAAGTGTTTTGTTGATCAGTCACACATTGAAAACTGTAGGATTAGACAGTCGAAACTAAGAATCGATGAATTCTCAAACAATTCTTATCGATTTTCATACTCACGATATTCGAAACTAACATATAGAATGGAATTGTAATGAATTCATGACAAGTGCAAGCTAACAACTTCCAGAAAACTAGTCAACAAATTCAGTAATTGATCTTAGTTTGTTGATATGTGATCAGTCGGACAAATTCATGAGAAAAGTGTGACTCTGTGATGATTACTCATAAAAGTCAAATTGCTGACAGAACACCTTGAATGCGAGGATATTAAGAACACAGAGCAACTGGTAATGAAGAAAATTTACTTATTTCTGATAAAATAACACATTTATAGAAAATATTTAACTGAAAAGTAAAACAGCCGAAATTCGCTTATAATGTAGCATAAAAATTCCATGAATCATTCGTCAGTCTAATCAGGAGTAATGCTTCCCTATTATATAACTTTCATTTATTTGCTGTAAAGTTTCTAAAAATTGCACTGAATAAATTTATTAAGAAGAAATAGGGTTTTGTTATAACTTCCCGGTGTTTGTCTATGACAATAACAAGAATTTCGCAGAAACTGATTGCGATAAATAAACTGAAAGCAGCATTAGAATTTTTCTCGTAATCGAGTACTTCATTATATTACTATAAGTACTATTAAGCGATTGCTATTAAATATAAGACCATAAGATTAACCCATCTAATTATCTCTTCAAGAACTATAACAGGTGAACAGAATTTTGTCATGTGCAATTAAGCAGATAATTGTTTTGTGTAAACGAATAGGTTGTCCTTTAAACAACTAAACTAAATATTCGACTTTCTGCGGAAAAATATTTATCATAAATGTTTTGCAAGTCATCATTAAGATTAAATTGTACTCAGTATGGGACAGAATTTCCAATTAAGTTGAATGTTTATTATTTACCTATAGTTTTTCTACTATGGGATTTGAACTGACAGTTGCGTCCCTGTACTAATGTGGTATGGCAACCTGAACTGACATACGTACGTACAAAGTTGCACGTTGTAATTGACTGACTGGTTGATTATTTACATAGATGAATAGTTATTCTGTATAAATTTCATTAACATTTATGTTAATCTTCCTGAATCACTATCTTTTCTAAAGTGAATAAAAATAGAATTGGGAAAGTACTTTAGAATAAGAATTTCACAAACAGCACCTCATATTATCTTCTAATTAGCGATAACGAAACAAAATCAACCGGCTAAATTGGTTAGGTAAATTAACAGTTTTCCAGTTTAACACTTAACGTGGTTACAAAGATTGGTTATAATCCATGTTATTCAAATCAGATGATGTAGGTGGTCATTTACAATTTCAACTGGTCTTATCACATTATTCTACACATCGCATAACTTGTCTAATACGAATGGTTGACATTTTCAGTAGTTTCACCTTGTTAAGACCAAACACTTTTTAAATAAGTAATTCATCATTATTAATCATCGCATTAATTATAGGATATAATTTTGTTAGAACACAAGAAACATTGCATTGTGCATTCGTTCAGTCTTTTGAATCTGAACTCAGTAGGTCAGTTGAGCATTGAAAACTAAGATTTTGAAATAAAACTGGGAATATGTAATCATGTTCATGTGGTTTCCAGTGCTCATCAATATCTTGACTGTTTATTAGCCTGAGTACATGGTATTCGACTCAGAATTCCAATAAAATTCCACACAGTTTCAATAATTTAGTAATTCCAATAAAATTTTGGCTGAAGAAGGGCTATGGATACATAGGTTTTAACTGGCCCCAGTAGCTGTT